CGGGAAACTCGAAACTGCTTTTTCGAGCCAACTCGAGCCAATCGGAGCCAACTCGTGCATCGCGGTAGTCGGAAAAATCAATGAAACCTTCTCCATTTTCATCGAGTCCTTCGCCCTCGATGTTTATTCGGTCAGGCGCGAAATCGCTGGAAAAACTTAATGACGCCGGGATATAATGATTAATAGGCTCTGGCAACGACAACGGATGTCCTTGGCCAAAAGTCTAATTACAAGTACGTGAAGACTTATTAACCCTTTTAGTGTTTGTTATGGTTAGAGAAAAAGCCCATAAAAACCAAACTAAGAATGATATTTACAAAATTCAAAAAGCAACATATTACGAAACAAAGAAAGAATAAAGTAATGGCAATTGCATTTCAATATTTATTGCAAATCATATAAATAACATAATTATAAAATATGAAAAATTTCACACCTTCTCGAATTTTTTTCTCGAAACTGCGTAGGATTTTGAGGGTATGTCTATTCACAAAAAATGATTGTAATTGACCCCTGCACCCGAAAATAATTTTTCCAGAATGATTTGAAACTTTTTAATTTGGTCGAAAAATTTCGCACCTTCTCGAATTTTTTTCTCGAAACTGCGTAGGATTTCGAGGGTATGCTTATTGACCAAAAATGATTATAATTGACCCCCGGAACCGAAAATAATTTTTTCAGAACGGTTTGAAATTTTTTAATTTAATTGTTAATAACTTTTTAACGAGGCCTCAGTGAAGAAACTGATATTCTTAATTTTCGTCTTATTTTGGCCTCTAGAATCCCTCGTTGGTCGAACACCCTGTATAATATGACGATTCCAGAATACATTCGTTTCCGCCACAAAGTAGCGTCGAGTTGCTGGTTCGCCCGAGCGAAAAAGGCTTCTGGAGCAAAGGGTTAAACCCAAAAATAATTTTTTAAATGCTTTTGGAATAAAATTAAACCCTTTATAATGTTTTATAAATTTTTTTTTAGACAGAGCTTTCTCCTAATGCGAAGAATAAGGCACTGAAAGGGTTAATACGTTGATTGCCATGCCTGTAAAATGAAATCCATTGGTGAGTGTTCGTGGCCATCGATTCCAAGATAAAGAGATACTCGAAGGGTGAAAAGAACGACAATGCGAAGGTCGGTTCTAGGATCGAACCGGAAACGGTTGCCCCGCGCGTGAGATCGCGTCGTGTCGATGAAAATGTTGCGTTGCTTCAGGTGAACCGATACGAAAGTGAAAATTTCAGCGTGTCTAGACGCAAGGATTACTTTCCCAGGGGTAACCCGATTCGCTGGTTCGCTCACGCAATGTTTTCTAGGGCACGTCGCACGGACGCGACTTTTCCGCGACCGGTCGCCGAATCGAATCGGCATTTTGTCCCGTCGACCGACGATAAATATCGGAAGCCGATATTCCCGCTATCCGGGAAATAATTGGACGGATAAAGTGGCTCGCGGTACAAATCGGGGATAGCCGTTACGAACTTTTCAGCATCGATTAGCATAAAGACTCGATAAAACCTCGGTATTGTACTTAATTATTTATACGTTGTCTAACCCAGATCTACGGGCAGCTGGAGGAAAACGTAAATCTCACAAGTGGGAAACGTATCCATTGTTACGAGTGTGCAATTTTGTTAAAAAAAAAGAATTCTATTCTTGGCGTCTCGGATCAACGATAACTTGAAACTTTAATCTTTAAAGGAGCTACAAGTTTCCTTACCCTTAAAATATATCGTGCAAACTTATCTCGGTTCAATCACGATACAGTAAATTTCTTTAATTAATCTCGAACCATCGTCGTACCATCGTGACAAGTATATTAATTTTGTCTTGTTTGCGCCTCGTGGTCGGGCGACGTTAATTTTATCAGGCTAGATTTATAGCGCCCCTCGTGCCCCCCGCGTTCCAATAAAAATAAACTATTACTGTTACTTCGTCGTAGAAATATTACGCGAACGCGCTCGGTTCATCGCTAGAAAATTATCAGTTTCGTTAACGAACCGAATATTCTTGTTCGGAGCGTTGTCTCGTTTTGGATCCCCGTCGTCTCGGTTGTCTCGTTAGTTGAGATTCATGCACGGTTCGCTGATTTTTATCTTTACAGATTTTCTGCACGCACGTCCCTCCCACCGATTTCGACAAATGTCGCGCGTTGATAAACGAGAATCGAGTTCCAAGCTATCCGTTTATAGAAAAAGATCCTTGTTTTTCTTCGATCGAAATATCTCTGCGAAGATCTCTGTGAGATCTGTTCCTATACGTAAACTAAATAATATAAATCGAACGTTCTATCGCTCTCATCGGAAAGTTTGTTGTATCAAAGTCACCGTGTTATGGAAATCACTGCGACGATTTATCTGCCTCGAGCTTTTCGCGGCTTGTCCCTATGAATCACGCGAAATCCGCGAATTAACCACTGTCGACGATACTCGAGAGGATTTAGTAGCCGTTTGTTCCGATTTCGTACAAATTTTTATCGTTGCAATTGGAATTTACTTAGAGAGAGAGAGAGAAAGAGAGCAAAAAAAAAATTGGTGACCTTGAAATGACCTTGACCTCTCCATCCGGAACTGAGAAAACGTTATCGCGAACAATTTTATCTCGAAAAGCGAACGCGTGGTCTTAAAACCTGTATATTAGCTGGTCATTTTCTAAATACCTCTACGAGGCGATCGAGATTAACCAAAGGATCCCCAACGTGGATGCGGAGGTCGATGATGGTATTAAAAAGACTCGTTTTCTTCCATAACTATACAGGAACCGTTGCGCGTGCGTACGGTACCGCGATCAATGTGTAGGAATGTGCTTGGCCATACTGGAACCACATGGAACGATAGAATTCTTCGAAAACGCGTAGAAATATTTCTTTAAACGCAACTGACCAATAACACGAACGACGTTTGCTTCGAGATCGCCAGCAATTTGTGGTTCGTTGGAACAAACAACAGATTTAACATGATTCCGCGAGAGAAACTTTTGTTTTCATGATCTTTAATTCGCTACGTACTCTCGATATATCTTGCACAACTCGTGTCAATGTATACAATACCGTGAGAGCGTTTTAAGTCTTGTAGGGTAGTTTAGAAACGACAATAATTACTGTTAGAATGTACTTGTTATCAAATGATACGTAAAAAGGTATATCTAAGCGTTCAGTTCTGTTCTTTAAGAGATCTGTTACAAGACTGTGACTTCACCCGCAGTTCGCCCTAGCGACCAACTCTTAGCTTTGTATAATAAACACTATCGAGTTCGTAGAACCCATGGCCAAAACTCCAGACATGTACAATCGTCATGATTTTTGTAACAACGTGAGACGATTAGGAAACAAATCGCGCGGTCGTCCAAGGGTTTACCGACGTTTATTTCATCCCCGGCCGTAAAGTGATTTTCCAGACGACGTAGTCACGGTAGTTACAGTATCAATTACGCGCTGGTTACCTCTTAACGGGCACATAAATTTTGCCGATATCGAGTAAGCAGCCACTTGAAAGCGACGAATATAGAATTACTGTTGGAACATAGTCGTCCGTTTATGGGGGCGGGTGCGTTGGTCGAAATTATCGCGCGGTGTATTCCGGGATCTGCTGTTGATGCACAGTCGCGTCGGTGGATAACGCGGTTGATTCGCTGGTAAAACCCTCTGGGGTGGTTGTCCAAACAGAAACAGTTTAAAGTTTTGGTCAACGAATGACCAGGGTTTACGTTTAAACGAGATCAACGTGCTCGTACCTGCCCCGAGAGCTTCAGATCAGAATATGTCCACGAGAAGGCTCGATTTTAAACGTTTTTCTCGATAAAACTCTTTTCTATTTGGTTGAAAAGCACCTCCGCGTAAATGTACCTTATACAATTTGTAATTTTTGTATACTCTGTCTGCTACACGTTAGGAATACCAAAGTAGATACGGTCTGTCGTTAAACGACCCGTATCTACTTCAGATATCGTTGCGAACTCGAGAAGCTAACAGAGAGGGCTTGTCGGGGCAGTTTTAATGACGGTTCACACTTGAAAATGTGGGACGTAGCGACGGTAGCCGATAAATTTCCAGGTTTACGAGTTCCTACTGGGTTTTTCCTCTTGCTTTCCCCTTTTCTCGCTTCCACTCGTTTCAGGGGAAACGGCCACGTAGCTTTCGCAGTCGCGGATCCCAAACGGACCTCCCCTTTCTTATCGTACAGTTAACATTTAACAAATAACTTGTCAAAGGTGTAAAAATTGATGGCGGTTCATTATTCGACGAATAAGAAACAAATCGCTATCAGATATCATTATTTGCTCAAAGATTAGAGGCTATTATAGGCTAACAATGTTAACAATGGCCATCTGGTATCGAATTTAAAAAATGAAACTTTGTTCGACTTTGCTTTTATGGGCAATAAAATCTAAAAAAAACTGGTAACGTTGTTTCGAACGTTCCTGCTATTCGTTGGTAAATTCTTAGCCAATCATTTCTTATATCGGTGTAAGATGAAAAATTAAAGTTCATTTTTCTATTGTCTCTCAAAGTTTTAGTTTAAATCTACGTACTGTTATGCAACTTGTTACCAGTTTATCAAGGCCAAATGTTAGGCAGCTTATACCGAAAAAAGAACGTAAGTCTTCACACGTTTCTTCACCCCGAAGAAGCCAATAGAAGACGGTGTTTCTTAATAAATCTTCTCGTCTGAAACTTCTAATACGAAGATTCCGATTCTGACGAAGCTCGTAGAATTTAAATATTTTTCCACTTCGAAGAATGTTATCTCACCGCCAAGGTAAATTTCCACAGGGAAAAAGTTCCTCCTTTGTTTTAGCATTCTTCCTGTTCGTTCCAAGTTTTCTCGAAATCAAAAGTTTCGGGCAAAGTTGCGCTTTTTCTTGGAAACTTCCTGGATATGATCGGAGGAAACTGAATAAACCGAGCCGTAGATTCATCGTCGGTCTACTTATAATATATATTTTGTAACAAACCTTGTAAGAAATAATGGAGTTGTATTATTAAACATTTTTCTCGATTCCAGAGACCTAACGAGCAACAACATAACAGACATTCCAGTCCGTGCCTTCCGTCGAGTTCCCAGTCTTGAAGTGTTGTAAGTAATTAAGTGTCTCAGCCCCTATTTTTGGAGAACGAATCCATCGTGCTGCGCGAGAACGTTCAACGAGCAGAAATATTAATTCGTGTGTTTCAGATTACTCCGACGAAATCGTTTGCACACGATCGCCGACGATGCATTCACAAACTTGACGAGCCTTCGAGTATTGTGAGTGTTTCGCAAAAAAATCGCACAGTTCCTTGCAAAAATGTTAGATCGTTGTGTGTTCGTACCGCCCGTTGTTCTCGCTTGAGCAAACGAAAGCCAGATCCGTTGCAAAAAAAATAAAAAAAAAAGAATGAAAGGGATCACGAGGAGTGTCCGCGCGATTGTTAAATGTTGTAATTCTGTCTGCTTTGTAGGGAGCTCGATGACAATTATTTAACAAAAATTCCGACCGCGATCGTAAACCTCTCTGGCCTTGAAGACCTGTAAGTGTGCATCGATTAAGTAAAATGTAATTTGACAACTTTTTTTTACATTCTATGAAACCACTCTTCCTACGTCGAATTGCGTCCACGCGGCGTTTCATAAAATTGAATCAATTTTTATTTATCTCTTTTTTTTCTTTCTTTCTTCTACCTTTGATGTCTCGATCTTTCCATTAATTCCCAACCACTGAATCTTTCAGCAAATTGAATGGTATTTTGAAAAAGATAAAGAAAAAGATACAATGCAAAGTGGCGATGGTCGTTATAAATCGTACATCGAGGTTCTTTTTTCCTCGAATAAGAATTTCACCGCGAACCAAGATACGTCGATTTCGTTGAATAGAAAATGTCTCTACCGCCCCTTGTTTTGTTTTCTTTTTGACCAAAGCCGCGAATACCGAGACAATCGTATTCGTTTATGTTCCGTCCGATTCCGTAGGTCCCTCTCGAACAACCGTATCGAAAAGCTGGAGGAACGTGTTTTCGAAAGCGTCACTAATCTGTTGTCGCTCGATCTGCGCGGAAACCCCATCAAGGAAATACACCGGAATACTTTTCAGAATCTACGAAAGCTCCGCAAACTGTAAGTATAGACAGTCCCTCGGGAGTCAAGATTTATCGGTTTCTAAAAACGGCCAACTGTCGGTAACGATTGCGCGAGAATTTCGTTGCCGTCGTTAAAAATAATGCTGGCGATTAAACGGCCATTTGTTTACAAAACAAATCAAACTAATTAACTGGTTTCTCGTTTTAAGCTAAATATACACGATGTAGATCTCGTGACAATTGTTTATTCTCTTAAAAAACTTTGCAGGATCCTCTCGAATCTGAAGGAATTGCGGATATTTCCGAATCTAAATGGAACGCGATCGTTAGAGATATTAAGATTAGATCGCGCGCAAGTGACGAACGTTCCATCGGATCTCTGCAAGCAATGCCCGAAATTGAAAAGTCTGTGAGTAATTGCGTGAATTTCCACATGATGAATCAACGACCTATCTGACGATTGATTTTACCTTCTCGTTGCAGCGATATGAAGTCGAATTACCTCACGGAGTTACCGAATCTAAGAAACTGCAGCGAGCTGCGAGTTTTGTAAGTATACAGGCGACAAAATCCTGTTATTAAACATGATCGAAACATGGTCCCTTTGCTTGTCGCGAACGAGCCTCGTATTTAAATTTCATCACGTCGGGGAGAAATGTAATCGACTTGGCGCTGGAACGAAAGAAAAAGTCCAAACGAATGCTTCCTTTCCAGAGATTTGGCCAGTAATCGGATCTCCAGGTTGCTGGACGAGCCGTTCGAAGGGCTGCTGATGCTGCACGACCTCCTTCTGTCGAACAACAAGCTACGCATGATCTTGAGCGACGCGTTCACTGGCTTGTCGCGGCTGCAGGTGTTGTAAGTGCCGTCGCTTGTAATTACTCGCGCAAAGATGGCCAAACGCTATCGTCTTGAAAAAGAGGGTTCGATGTTTCAGAGACCTGGAGAGCAACTACATCGAGTACATACACCCCGACGCGTTCAAGGAGACCAAGCATCTCGAGGACCTGTGAGTATAGCGCTCACGAAGGCTGCAAGAAACACGAAAGTCACGATACGGCCTCGCTGCGTATGAAATTATTATCGTTGATCGCGATGTTCGAAAGTGCATCCTTGATCAAATTAACGTAGAATGGATTTATTTAAATACGTATAGCGATAGAGCGCGAGAGATCGAACAAACGAGAACAGCATCCGCAGATAAGGGTTTTATCGTTTTTTAGAAATCTCGGGAACAACGTGTTCCCTGCACTGCCCACTCAGGGACTCTCAGGATTGTTGCACCTTAAGACGTTCAACAATCCAGCGCTGAGAGAGTTCCCATCGCCTGAGAGATTTCCACGTGTCCAGACGATGGTGCTGTCCTACGCTTATCACTGTTGTTCCTTTCTGTCCCTGGAAGTGGAGGACCCGGTGACTAAATCCTCCGTCCAAGAGTCGATCTTGTTCCCCACTGACAACGAGTTCGACATGAGTCTGTGGAACTCGAGCTTTACCGATATTTGGCCGCAGCACAGTAAGTAGTTAGTCGAACCGAACGGTTCCTCTGTTGAGATTCGTCGAGCTTTCGTTATCAGGTGCCTTGTGGTTGATACTGTTCGAGGTTTTGACGGTATTGCAACTATCTTGATCAGAATCTTAACGGTACACTGTATACCGAACTTCTAGGAACAGTTTCTCAAATGATACACTCGAGCAACTGTTCGTTCATCGAAATTAAAACGACAGAATGAGACTTTGCAGCACTGAAGTGATGACGTTTGTTTAGATAACATGACCGACAAATTCGGCTCGCAAATAAATGAACTTTGGGCTAACTTTGGTTCAGATTTTACGTACCCTGGTAACCTGCCCTCATATCTTGAGGATTATTTTGACGAGCAGAACAGAGCTACGGTGCCAGCTCAGACACTGCCTTTTCACGTTCAGTGCCTACCTCAACCTGGTACGTTTCTCTACCAATTTTAATCCAATACAGATTAAACGTTAAATAGTCAAGCTTTATCGTTCATACGCGCGTGTTTTCAGGCCCTTTTCTGCCGTGTCAAGATCTATTCGACTGGTGGACACTGCGTTGCGGCGTATGGGTGGTCTTTCTGCTCGCCATGCTTGGAAACGGGACGGTGGTGTTCGTATTAATATTCTCCAGGAGCAAAATGGACGTACCACGATTTCTGGTTTGCAACTTGGCCGCGGCGGACTTTTTCATGGGCATTTATTTAGGTCAGTGGACGGAAATATCTTAGTAGTCCTCCTTGGTACAGACTACCTGAGAAGGACGGGTACAAGAATTCGCCGATGATCGACTGCAATAGCATAGCGTCAGGGACACAACGACCGAAACGTCTAAAAAATCATAAGATCCCATAAAGAACTGCGATAGAATGCTAAAGTTATGGTTATTTTGCAGGTCTTTTGGCGGTGGTAGATGCCTCCACCCTGGGGGAGTTTCGAATGTACGCCATTCCCTGGCAAATGTCAGCCGGTTGTCAGCTGGCTGGTTTCCTTGGCGTGCTAAGTTCCGAGCTGAGCGTGTACACCCTGGCGGTGATCACGTTGGAGAGGAACTATGCGATAACGCACGCGATGCACCTGAACAAACGGCTGTCCCTGAAGCACGCGGGCTACATAATGACCGTGGGATGGTGTTTCGCCCTGTCGATGGCGACCCTGCCGCTGTTCGGTATCTCGGACTATAGAAAGTTCGCGATATGTCTACCGTTCGAGACGAACGGGAACGCGGCGCTCACGTACGTGATCTTTCTGATGCTGATCAACGGCGTCGCGTTCCTAATATTGATGGGATGCTACCTAAAAATGTACTGCGCGATCAGGGGCTCCCAGGCCTGGAACTCGAACGACTCCCGTATAGCGAAGCGAATGGCGCTGTTAGTGTTCACGGATTTCCTCTGCTGGTCCCCCATAGCGTTCTTCTCCCTGACGGCCACGTTCGGATTGCAGCTGGTCTCTCTGGAACAGGCGAAGGTGTTCGCGGTGTTCGTGCTGCCGTTAAACTCCTGCTGCAATCCGTTTCTATACGCGATCCTGACCAAGCAGTTCAAAAAGGACTGCGTGCTGATATGCAAGGCGATCGAGGAGTCTAGGGTGACTAGGGGGATCGGCAGATGCCGGCACAGCTCGAACTTCAGCAACCGGCAGACACCGGTGAACACTAATAGCCTGGTGGACAGGTCGTCGCGCGACAATCAAACGCCGTGCGCCTGTAACGCGAGACTCCTCGAGACCGGGCAGTGCTCCGGCTACCGACGATGGGGCACCAGGATATTGTGGCCGTGCGCCAAGAACACGCGTCCTCACCACACGCGCAGCGATCAGTACGCCTATCAGATCGCCGAGATCCAGCAGAAGCAGCACAAACGAGCCTCGTCCGTCTCCTCCAGCGAGAACTTCTCCTCGTCGAGATCGGATTCCTGGAGGCAGACCCACCATTGCGGCATCCCGTTGCGACTCCTCGACCCGAAGAGGAGAGCCTCGTCTTGGCTGATCACCAGGAAACCATCCCAGGACTCGAACCTCAGCTCGTCCAGAAACGACTCGTCCGGCTCGGCCACCACTGCCAGCACCAGCACATGGAGGATCTCCAGGTCGAGCGCGTCCTTGGAAATAAACGCGCGGAATACACCGAGACCGGCCAGGTCGAAGCCAAGACTGACCCGTCAGCTGGCGATCCAGGAGCCAGAACCACCGGGATCGCCTAGCAGGCTAGCTGTCAGGCTACTCGCGACGATACCATCCGCTGCCGAAACCAGTGACCAACAGGACGACGAAAATACGCCGCAGATTTAGAGACACTGAGTCGTTTGTAATGGACCACTGGAATCGGGTCTCTTTGCTCCCGAACGATTTCAGTATTAAGCGTTTCGAGAGTCGTAGTTGTGCATATTAGTGGTCGCGTTTTCTCTAAGAGCATCGTTTGTTCTCGACATAGTCAAAACAGCTTTTGCGGCCAAGAGAACCACACCGACAACCCGTTGAAACGAGTATAACGAAACTACTTGCATCCTCTTTGTACCATTATTCGCGCGAGTTTTGGTAGACGTTATAGACGGTCCAAGCCAACGATAGCAAAAGACCAATCTACCTTCAGTGACCGTCCGTTACACGTGCAGATATGATGCATACAATAGTCACGTTCGTTAGATATTACCGAGGATCATTACGCGTCAACGAACAATAACCTTTCAGAAGGCTCGAAACCTCTGTCATCGATGAAAAACTGGTTGTGCGACCTATATTTCTATGGAATATCGTCTAGAGGTTTGCAAGCATTCGGAATCGTTTACCGGACAACATATTTCGTAGCATAATAATTTAATACGACGATAACGGAGATTTAATTTAACGTGTAAACAAATTGAGGACGTATCTCTGAAAACTGAATTCCTAGACTGGTCAATTTCTATGGAGATTTTAGCATAAAACGGACTCGAAGATCGTAAGTTTACATCCGCGACAAGAAACTTGACGTTATATATAGTTTCGGATTAAGAATAAAGCGATAAAGTATTTATTAACAAATTAAAAGGACACACGATGTTTGTTACTTTTTTTTTCTTTTTAAAAAATTACTCGGCCTGACAGGATGTTTGAGCGCTTCTTTCGAAAATACGCGTGATCGGTATTCGAAGAACAGATCCGTTGTATTTCGATTATTAATAGATGCGTTTGCGTTATTATAAGACTGACGGTTCGTACAATTCGTCCTGTAAACGTGTAACCGATTTCCAGTTGAAAATCGGATCGCATAATGCATGAAGAGTCTACGGAAAATATGAAGAATGTCAAGTTTTTGCAGTTATCAGCTTTTCCGTGGACCCCTCATACGATTCGTGAACAAGTTCCGCAATACTAGTAATAAACGATTACTTCTCTGGCGATTAAACGACGATATTTGTTTATCAGTACGGTGGTCCATAAATTTTTACCGAACTAATTAAAATTTAACAAAAATTTTTAGACTTTTCTAGCCGCTTTACAGAAATATATTGTAAATAGAGTTGTTGCAACGAAATTAATTTTGACAACTTCCATAAAAAAGTATTTACCTATTTATACCAAAGTAATCATCGATATTACATGAATTTGTTACGACTGAATATTACAAAACGAATGTAGAACGAAGTACTGCCAACAAAATAACGTATGTAATTAATTATTAATTCATAAAAAGTCTACAGTTAGATCGTTACGAATAATACAGAATAAATCGGAATAGAGTACTGATTTATTTGAATAATTATTAGGAATAATGTAATCACAATCATTTTTACAGTTCATCTAGAATTTATTAACAAAGTCGAACGAATCGTAACTTTTAAACAATAGTTATTGTCAGAGTAAAGTACTCTAAGAATTTATGGGCCATCGTAATACCAAGTAATTGTTGTGTTCATTAACCGTGATAATGAACGATTAACGAGTGCAGCTAAGTTAGTTAACTGTTAGGTTACAGTTAGATCCTTCTAGCCTAAAAATTATTATAAGATTGTTATACAGGATGGCCAAGTAATTAATGCCACCTAAGTGTCCCTAAGCTTGTAAAAGTTATAGAAAAGTTTTCGACGAAGAGTACAGCAAAGGCCTTTGAATCGAACAAAACGCTTTGGATATTAACAAAAATTTCGTTGGTGTGTTAGTGTCGTTGTAGATCGTTTATTGCAGTCATCCAACGTTTACTCTATTGCAACAAGATAGACATAACAGTACGCAAAGAGTTCGACGAACTATGATGATCCATTCTAAATCTGGCGATCTTTCTTCGACGAAATTTTTCTCTAACTGCCGTGACCCTTCGGTGGTAATTAGGTGACCATCCTGTAGTGTGCAAATGTTTATACGCGGTAGAGACGCTTATAGTATTACCACTTATCGGGCTCGTTCTATTGTTAAATGCGTTATTTCGTCCTTCGCGCGATCGTTTCCATTGTTTTCATAGCAACCGTTGCTATGTCCATTTATCCACTTTTTGAGTGTCGTTTCGTCGACTCGACGAACACGTTTTTGCGTATGTGTCCGAACCGAACTATTTAATAACGTTTTTCTAATAAAACTGTGCATTACGATAAAACAAGTTGCAAGTATTTCATTTCGTCGGATCTTGAGAAACGGAGACAACATCCTCGACGAATAACTACGATATTAAACCACAGGAGATTTTTGAAAATAAATAAAGTAAAACTTATCTCATTGAAATTTTTTGTAGAAGTTGAGCTGATGAATACCTAGAAAAAAGTATTAGACAACATTTCATTTTGATTAAAAATCAAATTTATATTGTTTTAAATTCACAGCCATTAGCTCGGTGTTACCCATAATGAAGAAGTTTTTCTTCAAAGGTAACACCGATTACCAGGTCTCACCACGAGGAGGTTGCTGCGAGTGGAGACCCAAAGTGAGACCGATGGAACAAAGTTCGATCGACCTTCCTTTTTACACACTTAGAAACTAAAACGACGCAAAAAAAAAGATGCCAAGTAATTACTTTTCTAAAACAAAGGAGGAAGCTAAATTGTGGGAGACGCGACACGACGAAACGCGACACAATACTGCACAGTGCAGTAGGAACATGAGGTGCGACACGTACCGAATAGCGGGTCAAAAGGGGCAGCTCGTTACCTCTTAGCAAGTCCAATTGAAGGGGAGGAGAATCGACGCACCAGACACGGGTTCCCCATTTCTCCAACGCGTCCTGCTGGGAGCCCGTAGGACCCAACCCGGGACGTCTGACACAGGAGAGAGATCCTGAGTCGGGGCTACCGCAGACAGGAACAAGTCCCCTCTACGGCCGATGACTCTTTCCCTAGAATTGTCTCACCAGAGGACGGCAACCGACCCTTCGAACCATCTAAACGGCCGATCACTTGCTTTTTACATGAAAGCAGCGGTGACCGGAGCTAGAAACGGGGAAACGAGACTGGAAAATAAGCTATTAATTAATTCATTACTTGGCAATCTACGCAGTAAATAAAATAATATACAATGTAAATTGAAAATTAACGTCGTAGGTGGAATTGAGAATTAATGTGAATTAATAAAATATAGGAAACATCGGAAAAACAAGGAAAAGAAGGAAAAAGAAAAATTCGACGTTAATTTTTACATTCGCGCCGCGCCTTAAAATTAATCGGCTTACGTTTAAATCCCGGCCGATGAATCCGACGTCATCTATTGATCTCCTCCTCCTCCTAGAAATTGATCTGGTAAAAAACTCAAATAAAAATTAATAGTTATGTGTACATGTAGACAAATAATAAAACCTAAATAACAAATTAATTTGAAATAAGGAATTGGAACAATCCAACGAAGTAAATTAACGAAACGAATCATTCGAAAAAAAAGAAACCAACGATGTGTACTTTGAATTATAGATTAATTTTGAAAATTAAAAAACCAACGAAGCGCAAGACGAATAACAAAATAAATCGTAAAAGAACAAACCAACGATGAAAGCGAGACGAAGATGGAATAGAATAAATTGAAAAATATCAACCCAACGATGGTAATTAATATAGATAAAACTAGATGAACGAAGAACCCAAATATGAAAATACCTATATACATAAAAATGCAGAAAAACACAATATTTTCATTAGTTATATTAATATTAATTGTATCTATACCAAAACCAAAGGGTGATCCTTCCTGGTCAGCATCGCAGAAGATATCTGAAACAGAAAACAAAAACGCGTGACAGTACCCCCGGCGGTTCCAGGAGTACTGAAAAAATTTGCCCAGCTGTGTCCACTTTTATGCAGTCAAGCCAAAGAATCAACGAGCCAATCAGCAGCCAGTCCGCTGGAGGCGACCATCGCCCGTGTTCCTTGAAACGTTATAAGAGCCCCCTGAGGCCCTCGCGCGGGAGTTATCTCCCAACCACCAAGCAAGACGGACCGCATCGAGATGAAGAATTTAATTGAAGATTTACATTCGATCAAAATCGAAGATGGCGGCCAAGAAGATGTTTCACGAGCAGCGGCCAAGGGACAAAACCGGTCTTTTTAAAGACCAAGAAAATCTCATTTGTGGGAACAACTTATGCAATGAACTGAACAACTTTTATATTTAACAACTCAGAGACACTTTACATCTCTGTTTTGTAACAACTTTTATATTTAACAATTCAGAGACACTTTACATCACTGTTTTGTAACAACTTTTATATTTAACAACTCAGAGACACTTTACATCTCTGTTTTGTAACAACTTTTATATTTAACAACTCAGAGACACTTTACATCTCTGTTTTGTAACAACTTTTATATTTAACAATTCAGAGACACTTTACATCTCTGTTTTGTAACAACTTTTATATTTAACAATTCAGAGACACTTTACATCTCTGTTTTGTAACAACTTTTATATTTAACAATTCAGAGACACTTTACATCACTGTTTTGTAACAACTTTTATATTTAACAATTCAGAGACACTTTACATCTCTGTTATGGAACAAGTTATGCAATAAAACTGAACATGGTATATTTGCCTATATGTATAGGAAGGAAATTCGTCGTTAGTATTGTCGCCCGTCAATGCACTTAATTATGCAAGATCAGTATACTATCTAATTTTATTTTTTATTATACCGGTTTGTAATATCGTAAAGATCAATGCAAAAACATTATGCACAGCTCTTGTATTTCTTTGATTTATCCAAGTAGTCAAAGTATAATATTTAACAAACTTTTGATTCAAATAAAATAACGAATGACACAAGAGTAAGTACCTGTTACATGCAACCTATGTATAAATGCATAATAACTAATATTGATATACGCATAACGAACTTAGTTTGTGATATGAAACATTAAGAAAAGTGTAATTTAATAAATAGGTTTCAAAATGGGTATTCCAGGTTTAACAACTTTCATAAACAATCGTTCAGATCGTTATTTGGAATATTTCGAGCTACGTGATACGTATTTAGTTATTTAGCTGTCAAATATATAATTCATACAAGTGCAATTGTGTTTTTGGCGTTGATTACGATAAATACGCTCAACGAGTATCGGATTTTTTTGACGATTTGTTAAAGTGCAATGTAGTACCATTAGTTTTGATCGATGGCGGTTGCGAGGATAAGAAACTGCAAACAGTTATATCTAGAACTAAAGAAAAGATTCGTACAGCATCATCTTTTTCTCCGATCTGTCAACAGAAAATGAAATTTTTGTCCTTTACATATTTAGGAAGTTTTCAAAGATGTTACGAGAAAGAAGAATGTTCGTCATGTGCAATGCTTATTCGAAGCTGATAATGCTATAGCTACTGTAGCAAGGGTATTGAATTGTCCTGTATTGAGTTATGATTCAGATTTTTATGTGTTTGGGACATTGTACATACCATTTGATACATTGGACAATTACACGGTGAAAAGTTCATCTGGAAATGGTTACACGAAACGTTGTAAAATTTATAAAGTTGAACACTTATTAAATTCTTATAGAGGTCTAAGTCAATCTACACTGCCATTAGCTGCAATATTACTAGGCAATGATTATGTAAAACATGGTACATTTAGAAACTTCTTTCGTTATTTAAAGTTACGACGAATAAGAAGAAAAAGGTATAGTAATCGACAGTATTGTATAGAAGCAACTTTACAATGGTTGAGCAGGTTTTACACCTTGGACAGAGCAGTCATTGGAATACTATGTAGATCACCTAAAACCGTAAGACAAAATATATTAAGCATAATAGAAATCAATATAAATGGCTATACAAATGCATCTGCAGAAATACTTGTTCCATTGGGGTTTTTACAGGAATATGCAGCTCGTGCCACAACACATTCCATAAACAGAATTTTTAAATTTGATGGGGATGTTAATAGTCTAATGTACATAGAAGAAACTGATAAAAATGGAGACTTTGAATCAGCCGAAGAAGAAGAAGAAGAGGAAGAAAACGAAGTTGAAATATTAGACATGCTTAAAGGGGTCAGAATCTGCTACCAATAATGCACTAGCTAATATACCTAATTTGTTTGTAGATGAATTTCTTATGGGCAATTATCCTGCATATTTCATGGACTTGTTGGTTCGACGTTTATATATTTGTCCTGTACAAATAGAGGATTATTCCTATCCATTGAGCAATGTAATAAGTTTAAAAATTATTAGAGTTATATATGCATTTCTGTAATCAGGAATGAATAGAAAGAGAGGTTTCATGAAATACATGATGAGAGACTGTAATAAAAAGCTTAAATGTTACGAACTAGAAGGCACTGACACTAAATTTTCTTTCCCATTACTGTCCCTATCTAATCTTAGAGAAGTACCATTAACGAGTCCAGGATTAAAAAATAATGTACAAACATGCGTCATTGATTTTTCATTACCATTTGAATTTAAATTCAAGTTATATAGACACAAATATATAAGCAAAGCCCATATTGAATGAAAAATTGACACGTAAATACACGTTTCAAGACCCTCTGATCATGTTTGACATAAAACAATACTTTGAAAATAAATCGTTTGAATATAGTTTATCGAGTAAGACCTTCGAAATTATTTTCAAACAATTTATTTTCTAATTGTTCTACTATTTGAAATAATAATTTTTTGATCTTATAGCAAAGAACGTTTACTTAATATCAATTCAATAAATTCAATTTGTATTTGTATATTTTTCGCCTATACAGGCAAATATACCATGTTCAGTTTTATTACATAAGTTGTTCCAAAACAGAGATGTAAAAAGTCTCCGAGTTGTTAAATATAAAACTTGTTCGAAAACAGAGATGTAAAAAGTCTCTGAGTTGTTAAATATAAAAGTTGTTCAGTTTAGTGGTTCCCACAAATGAGATTTTCTTGGTCTTTAAAAAGACCGGTTTTGTCCTTTGGCCGCTGCTCGTGAACCATCATCTTTGGCCATCTTCGATTTTGATTGAATGGAAATCTTCAATTAAATTCTTCATCTCGATACGATCCGTCTTGCTTGGTGGTTGGGAGATAACTCGCCGATCAACGCCTCAGGGGGCTCTTATATACTAGGAGCCCGGACGCTCACGAGAGACCGAGCGACATCTGTGCAATTTCGATACACGAATTATTCACGAATTGTCCCCATACAAAAAGTTAAAGAATCATTATTTAAATAATGGAATACTTATACGTATATATAAAGCATTTCTACATATTCTCCATCGAAATACGCGTTGTTTGCAACTTGAAACATTAAGATCCTTCAATCCGTTCAAAAGTTCTAAATTTTTAAACATACGCATGAAATTTCAAACGAATATTTCTGCATCTTTAAAATATTATAACTTCTGAACGGATTGAAGGATCTTAATGTTTCAAGTTGCAAACAACGCGTATTTTGATGGAGAATATGTAGAAATTGAATATTGAACATCTCTGTTATGGAACAACTTTTATATTTAACAATTCACAGACACTTTACATCTCTGTTTTGTAACCACTTTTATATTTAACAATTCACAGACACTTTACATCTCTGTTTTGTAACCACTTTTATATTTAACAATTCACAGACACTTTACATCTCTGTTATGGCACAAGTTATGCAATAAAACTGAACATGGTATACATATTTGCCTATATGTATAGGAAGGAAATTCGTCGTTAGTATTGTCGCCCGACAATGCACTTAATTATACAAGATCAGTATACTATCTAATTTTATTTAATCAAAACTAATGGTACTGCATTGCACTTTATCAAATCGTCAAAAAAATCCGATACTCGTTGAGCGTATTTATCGTAATCACCGCCAAAAACACAATTGCACTTGTACGAATTATATATTTGACAGCTAAATAACTAAATACGTATCACGTAGCTCGAAATATTCCAAATAACGATCTGAACGATTGTTTATGAAAGTTGTTAAACCTGGAATACCCATTTTGAAACCTATTTATTAATTTACACTTTTCTTAATGTTTCATATCACAAACTAAATTCGTTATGCGCATATCAATATTAGTTATTATGCATTTATACATAGGTTACATGTAACAGGTACTCAAATTTTGTGTCATTCGTTATTTTATTTGAATCAAAAGTTTGTTAAATATTATACTTTGACTACTTGGATAAATCAAAGAAATACAAGAGCTGTGCATAATGTTTTTGCATTGATCTTTACGATATTACAAACCGGTATAATAAAAATAAAATTAGATAGTATACTGATCTTGCATAATTAAGTGCATTGACGGGCGACAATACTAACGACGAATTTCCTTCCTATACATATAGGCAAATATGTATACCATGTTCAGTTTTATTGCATAACTTGTGCCATAACAGAGATGTAAAGTGTCTGTGAATTGTTAAATATAAAAGTGGTTACAAAACAGAGATGTAAAGTGTCTGTGAATTGTTAAATATAAAAGTGGTTACAAAACAGAGATGTAAAGTGTCTGTGAATTGTTAAATATAAAAGTTGTTCCATAACAGAGATGTTCAATATTCAATTTCTACATATTCTCCATCAAAATACGCGTTGTTTGCAACTTGAAACATTAAGATCCTTCAATCCGTTCAGAAGTTATAATATTTTAAAGATGCAGAAATATTCGTTTGAAATTTCATGCGTATGTTTAAAAATTTAGAACTTTTGAACGGATTGAAGGATCTTAATGTTTCAAGTTGCAAACAACGCGTATTTCGATGGAGAATATGTAGAAATGCTTTATATATACGTATAAGTATTCCATTATTTAAATAATGATTCTTTAACTTTTTGTATGGGGACAATTCGTGAATAATTCGTGTATCGAAATTGCACAGATGTCGCTCGGTCTCTCGTGAGCGTCCGGGCTCCTAGTATATAAGAGCCCCCTGAGGCGTTGATCGGCGAGTTATCTCCCAACCACCAAGCAAGACGGATCGTATCGAGATGAAGAATTTAATTGAAGATTTCCATTCAATCAAAATCGAAGATGGCCAAAGATGATGGTTCACGAGCAGCGGCCAAAGGACAAAACCGGTCTTTTTAAAGACCAAGAAAATCTCATTTGTGGGAACCACTAAACTGAACAACTTTTATATTTAACAACTCAGAGACTTTTTACATCTCTGTTTTCGAACAAGTTTTATATTTAACAACTCGGAGACTTTTTACATCTCTGTTTTGGAACAACTTATGTAATAAAACTGAACATGGTATATTTGCCTGTATAGGCGAAAAATATACAAATACAAATTGAATTTATTGAATTGATATTAAGTAAACGTTCTTTGCTATAAGATCAAAAAATTATTATTTCAAATAGTAGAACAATTAGAAAATAAATTGTTTGAAAATAATTTCGAAGGTCTTACTCGATAAACTATATTCAAACGATTTATTTTCAAAGTATTGTTTTATGTCAAACATGATCAGAGGGTCTTGAAACGTGTATTTACGTGTCAATTTTTCATTCAATATGGGCTTTGCTTATATATTTGTGTCTATATAACTTGAATTTAAATTCAAATGGTAATGAAAAATCAATGACGCATGTTTGTACATTATTTTTTAATCCTGGACTCGTTAATGGTACTTCTCTAAGATTAGATAGGGACAGTAATGGGAAAGAAAATTTAGTGTCAGTGCCTTCTAGTTCGTAACATTTAAGCTTTTTATTACAGTCTCTCATCATGTATTTCATGAAACCTCTCTTTCTATTCATTCCTGATTACAGAAATGCATATATAACTCTAATAATTTTTAAACTTATTACATTGCTCAATGGATAGGAATAATCCTCTATTTGTACAGGACAAATATATAAACGTCGAACCAACAAGTCCATGAAATATGCAGGATAATTGCCCATAAGAAATTCATCTACAAACAAATTAGGTATATTAGCTAGTGCATTATTGGTAGCAGATTCTGACCCCTTTAAGCATGTCTAATATTTCAACTTCGTTTTCTTCCTCTTCTTCTTCTTCTTCGGCTGATTCAAAGTCTCCATTTTTATCAGTTTCTTCTATGTACATTAGACTATTAACATCCCCATCAAATTTAAAAATTCTGTTTATGGAATGTGTTGTGGCACGAGCTGCATATTCCTGTAAAAACCCCAATGGAACAAGTATTTCTGCAGATGCATTTGTATAGCCATTTATATTGATTTCTATTATGCTTAATATATTTTGTCTTACGGTTTTAGGTGATCTACATAGTATTCCAATGACTGCTCTGTCCAAGGTGTAAAACCTGCTCAACCATTGTAAAGTTGCTTCTATACAATACTGTCGATTACTATACCTTTTTCTTCTTATTCGTCGTAACTTTAAATAACGAAAGAAGTTTCTAAATGTACCATGTTTTACATAATCATTGCCTAGTAATATTGCAGCTAATGGCAGTGTAGATTGACTTAGACCTCTATAAGAATTTAATAAGTGTTCAACTTTATAAATTTTACAACGTTTCGTGTAACCATTTCCAGATGAACTTTTCACCGTGTAATTGTCCAATGTATCAAATGGTATGTACAATGTCCCAAACACATAAAAATCTGAATCATAACTCAATACAGGACAATTCAATACCCTTGCTACAGTAGCTATAGCATTATCAGCTTCGAATAAGCATTGCACATGACGAACATTCTTCTTTCTCGTAACATCTTTGAAAACTTCCTAAATATGTAAAGGACAAAAATTTCATTTTCTGTTGACAGATCGGAGAAAAAGATGATGCTGTACGAATCTTTTCTTTAGTTCTAGATATAACTGTTTGCAGTTTCTTATCCTCGCAACCGCCATCGATCAAAACTAATGGTACTACATTGCACTTTAACAAATCGTCAAAAAAATCCGATACTCGTTGAGCGTATTTATCGTAATCAACGCCAAAAACACAATTGCACTTGTATGAATTATATATTTGACAGCTAAATAACTAAATACGTATCACGTAGCTCGAAATATTCCAAATAACGATCTGAACGATTGTTTATGAAAGTTGTTAAACCTGGAATACCCATTTTGAAACCTATTTATTAAATTACACTTTTCTTAATGTTTCATATCACAAACTAAGTTCGTTATGCGTATATCAATATTAGTTATTATGCATTTATACATAGGTTGCATGTAACAGGTACTTACTCTTGTGTCATTCGTTATTTTATTTGAATCAAAAGTTTGTTAAATATTATACTTTGACTACTTGGATAAATCAAAGAAATACAAGAGCTGTGCATAATGTTTTTGCATTGATCTTTACGATATTACAAACCGGTATAATAAAAAATAAAATTAGATAGTATACTGATCTTGCATAATTAAGTGCATTGACGGGCGACAATACTAACGACGAATTTCCTTCCTATACATATAGGCAAATATACCATGTTCAGTTTTATTGCATAACTTGTTCCATAACAGAGATGTAAAGTGTCTCTGAATTGTTAAATATAAAAGTTGTTACAAAACAGTGATGTAAAGTGTCTCTGAATTGTTAAATATAAAAGTTGTTACAAAACAGAGATGTAAAGTGTCTCTGAATTGTTAAATATAAAAGTTGTTACAAAACAGAGATGTAAAGTGTCTCTGAATTGTTAAATATAAAAGTTGTTACAAAACAGAGATGTAAAGTGTCTCTGAGTTGTTAAATATAAAAGTTGTTACAAAACAGAGATGTAAAGTGTCTCTGAGTTGTTAAATATAAAAGTTGTTACAAAACAGTGATGTAAAGTGTCTCTGAATTGTTAAATATAAAAGTTGTTACAAAACAGAGATGTAAAGTGTCTCTGAGTTGTTAAATATAAAAGTTGTTCAGTTCATTGCATAAGTTGTTCCCACAAATGAGATTTTCTTGGTCTTTAAAAAGACCGGTTTTGTCCCTTGGCCGCTGCTCGTGAAACATCTTCTTGGCCGCCATCTTCGATTTTGATCGAATGTAAATCTTCAATTAAATTCTTCATCTCGATGCGGTCCGTCTTGCTTGGTGGTTGGGAGATAACTCCCGCGTGAGGGCCTCAGGGGGCTCTTATAACGTTTCAAGGAACACGGGCGATGGTCGCCTCCAGCGGACTGGCTGCTGATTGGCTCGTTGATTCTTTGGCTTGACTGCATAAAAGTGGACACAGCTGGGCAAATTTTTTCAGTACTCCTGGAACCGCCGGGGGTACTGTCACGCGTTTTTGTTTTCTGTTTCAGATATCTTCTGCGATGCTGACCAGGAAGGATCACCCTTTGGTTTTGGTATAGATACAATTAATATTAATATAACTAATGAAAATATTGTGTTTTTCTGCATTTTTATGTATATAGGTATTTTCATATTTGGGTTCTTCGTTCATCTAGTTTTATCTATATTAATTACCATCGTTGGGTTGATATTTTTCAATTTATTCTATTCCATCTTCGTCTCGCTTTCATCGTTGGTTTGTTCTTTTACGATTTATTTTGTTATTCGTCTTGCGCTTCGTTGGTTTTTTAATTTTCAAAATTAATCTATAATTCAAAGTACACATCGTTGGTTTCTTTTTTTTCGAATGATTCGTTTCGTTAATTTACTTCGTTGGATTGTTCCAATTCCTTATTTCAAACTAATTTGTTATTTAGGTTTTATTATTTGTCTACATGTACACATAACTATTAATTTTTATTTGAGTTTTTTACCAGATCAATTTCTAGGAGGAGGAGGAGATCAATAGATGACGTCGGATTCATCGGCCGGGATTTAAACGTAAGCCGATTAATTTTAAGGCGCGGCGCGAATGTAAAAATTAACGTCGAATTTTTCTTTTTCCTTCTTTTCCTTGTTTTTCCGATGTTTCCTATATTTTATTAATTCACATTAATTCTCAATTCCACCTACGACGTTAATTTTCAATTTACATTGTATATTATTTTATTTACTGCGTAGATTGCCAAGTAATGAATTAATTAATAGCTTATTTTCCAGTCTCGTTTCCCCGTTTCTAGCTCCGGTCACCGCTGCTTTCATGTAAAAAGCAAGTGATCGGCCGTTTAGATGGTTCGAAGGGTCGGTTGCCGTCCTCTGGTGAGACAATTCTAGGGAAAGAGTCATCGGCCGTAGAGGGGACTTGTTCCTGTCTGCGGTAGCCCCGACTCAGGATCTCTCTCCTGTGTCAGACGTCCCGGGTTGGGTCCTACGGGCTCCCAGCAGGACGCGTTGGAGAAATGGGGAACCCGTGTCTGGTGCGTCGATTCTCCTCCCCTTCAATTGGACTTGCTAAGAGGTAACGAGCTGCCCCTTTTGACCCGCTATTCGGTACGTGTCGCACCTCATGTTCCTACTGCACTGTGCAGTATTGTGTCGCGTTTCGTCGTGTCGCGTCTCCCACAATTTAGCTTCCTCCTTTGTTTTAGAAAAGTAATTACTTGGCATCTTTTTTTTTGCGTCGTTTTAGTTTCTAAGTGTGTAAAAAGGAAGGTCGATCGAACTTTGTTCCATCGATCTCACTTTGGGTCTCCACTCGCAGCAACCTCCTCGTGGTGAGACCTGGTAATCGGTGTTACCTTTGAAGAACAACTTCTTCATTATGGGTAACACCGAGCTAATGGCTGCGAATTTAAAACAATATAAATTTGATTTTTAATCAAAATGAAATGTTGTCTAATACTTTTTTCTAGGTATTCATCAGCTCAACTTCTACAAAAAATTTCAATGAGATAAGTTTTACTTTATTTATTTTCAAAAATCGTATTAATAATATACATATGTGTGCTCATACATGGGAATAAAAAAAAAATTTCTTTTTTTTCAATAATTAAAATATGATCAGGAGGTTTTAAAACGTGTATTTCCGTAAAATAAATTTTACAAAATTTTTTTTTCATTATGGGTACTTTGCTTATGTGCGCCTACATAGGTCGGAAAGTAAAAATGCCTGGGCAGTCGAGAATCCAAATCGTATGCCGTTGACGGGAGGTCGGATTTCAGTTGTGTGGGAGCGAGAAGGCAAATGTGAGCCTTTCTCTCTCGACTTCCACGAAGCGGTCCGAAATTACGCGTATCTGGCATGTGTGAGTGTGCACCCGACGGTGCTTTTCTGGCATCACTGGTTCGATGCATTATCTGTATCCAATGTCTTTATATCTACAATACGGAAGATATACATATAGTAATATATTTATTTTGTTACATGGAAAAAGGGATCCAAAATGAAAAATCAAGGTGATATTTAAAATAATTGATATTCACCAATTTTAATAATAATTCCCGCCCATTCCGTTAGCGTTACGGTCCAATTCTCTTCTGAATCGATGACGTCACATGTGACACGAAAATGCATTGGACGATAGGTTTATACTGTTTGTAGAAATTTATAGATATTATTAAAAGGAAAGTGTAGTCTTTAAATGTTGAAAAAATATTGGCAAATCGGAAATAATTTTTTCGTTAAATATTTGTAAACATTTATTTTATTATTCGGAAAATTGAGAGTGCCTGACCAAAGTTCGAACTCACTCGAACTTCATTCGTCAACGTGTAATCCATGGTATAGTCATATGATTGCAGTTCGTTGGTTTAAAATAATTCAAAGCTGTAAACAAGTCGACGAGTTATGGCAATGTAACGAGCTTAAAATCGGTATGCTCAAAATACGGCAGGAGAGGCACAATTTCATAAAACAAATTCGTGAACCATCGATATTTCTTTTTCGCGGTGATAGACGAAAGTTGAAAGAACGAGTTACGAAAATAGAGTTTGATTAATCGGCGACACAGAAAGTAAGTGTACTAAACAATTTCTACAATTAAACGAATCCTTTCGCATGTTCGAAGGAAATTTAAAGTTAGTTTAAATGCAACAAAATCATTGTAGTTATTTTGGAATGGATGAAATAATGTGGTCAACTCCGATAAAAAATGGAAACAAATGTGATGGTCTACCAGTACAAAGTCCTGTATCGTTTGAGACACCTGTGAAACAACGTGATACGTATTTAAGACATGCACAGTATCAAAGTAACATGAGCAATTTCACTGTTCTTCCGAGCCATATAACTCCGCCATCTGGATTAACAAAATTTATAGCAAGAAATCCATTTGAGACTGATTTAACTAATAGACTGCATTTATCTGTGATTAGCCCAACCGTGTTTAGCAAGGTAATTCTTTAAAATAGAATTTTTAATTTATGATAACCTGCATAATCATTATTAGGATACACAGGTTTCCAGTCCATTCCAGCAACATACAGACTTTACATGGAGCGTGGACGAATTGGCCATGATACAGCCAGCAAAAATAGAAGAATTTCCTACGCAACAGATAAATTGTATAGATCCAGAAACTGAGATAAAAGCTCAAGCTGCCATCGATCGATTTTTCAAGGAGAATCAAATTATTCCCAGTCCGTGGGAACTAAAAAGAAAGAACAATAGAATAAAAGAAAAAGTAGATACTCCCAAAAGAGCTTCTAGCAATTTGCATTCAGAGTCTTCCCGATCAAAGAAAGATGGTACTGTCATAAAAACGAACAGATATGTTTTGCATTTTGTAATTGTAACTTATTTTCAGGTTGGTGTCAAACAGTATTGTCGTTACCATCGGAATTGCCGCCGCACGTTGCAGAAGCGTTGAAACCATATTTTACATTTAATCAAGTAAAGAACAAATTGATACGTAGGATCGATTTAACGTAATTCTATATTCGTTGGTAAGCTTTGTTTGTTTTTTTTTTTGCTAGGAACAAAACGTTGAAAGCGATGATGCAAATTCGAGTAACAACTCATTGAGACGAAAATTATTCTTTAATAATGACGATTATATGGACAACGAAAACGAAACTTCCGTTTACTTATCTCCTATGCAAGTAAATGGATCTTTGGTACTGTCTTCTAGTCCTCCACAAAGTGGAATGTTAATTCACGGAACTCCGATAAAGGTAAATAGAAATCTTATCTATACATTAATATAATGTGTATGGACGTGAAGAAATTATTAATAAAATTTTTCTCTACAGCATTCGGAAAATATGAATAACAAACACGAAACATCTCAAATTTTAATTGGGAATTTATCACCTCCTAATATATCTCCTATAAAAACTGCAGAGAGTAACACGTTCGATGAAAGTATGAGATCAAAATCTCGTTCGGTTGCTCGATTAGATTTTACCACAGAGATGAGCATAGATCAATCTTCTTCGATTCATAAAGAATATTCCAAGGACCTCTCTCCAGGTAATTATTATATAATTTTAATATTATAATTAAGACACGCTTGAAAATATTATTTTAGTAATAATTGTACATTATAATTCTTAGATGAGTCTCTGAACGAAATCAATGAACGAGTAATAGAAAATAAAATGGAGAAATTTGTGCATTTTAATAGTAATTCCACGTGTGTTCAAATCAATGATTTTTTAACAGAGACAAAAGTTATATCGAAGAGCTCGAATCATTCCAACCAGTATCAGAAAACCGAAGCACCCGAATATCATTTTAAACAACATAATACCGTTAACGTGTTCAAACAATTAACTGATTCTTGCAAGATGCATACAAACGAAAATTGCATACTGCAACAAACTAATGGAACATTAGGTATCTCTGATCAGCAAAGCGTTTCTAATTCCGTACAAGATACTGGTTATCAGACGTGCAGTATAAACAATACAATAAACATTACCGATAGTTACAACTGTACGCCTGTGAAACAAAAAGCATATTGGGGAGATGAGATTTTATCGACCGACGACGACTTCCGCCTATCCAATTGGAAGGAAAACATAAAGAATATATTTAGCTCTACACCGTCAAGGACGAACAGGGAATGGGATAATAAAATATAATATATTGCTATCTTTTAGGAATGAAATCAAAATGAACAACTAAAGGATCGTTAATGAAGTCGAAAAATAATTGAATATAATAAATTTTACAGTTAACGTATTATATTTGTATAAATGTAATAGTACAATTGCGATTTAAGAACACGATCTTTTTATATTTACGATTTTATTTTATTACGCTGACATGTTTTGTTTTTTAGTTAAAATTTATAGCAAGTAGATAATAATATATAGCAAAATTTGTAAATGTAAACAACTGATCATTTTTAGTTCTTCACTGCCATGTGTAATTTGTAATGTATATTCAGTGAATGCGAATAAGAATGTTTGTATTAATGTATTCGATCGAAGATCAAGCGTAACGTGTGTGATACAAGAGACTGAATGTGTCCTCGAATTTACACATCCAATCTTATTTTAATTCATTAAAAGACTGTACAAGTATGGAAAATATGACATTTTGTATTAAAACGTATCGTAGCTGATTAAAGGGACAAAGCAACGTACAAATAAGAATAAGTAAAATGTATAAATTTCAATGTGGTGAAGGATACATTTATTATTGATCGTGTTATTCCTGAAAATTAAATATACATCCATAATTTCGCTAAAGAATGTCTCATATTTTATTTGTTCGCTATACGTGATTGATCGAACCCTTTATCGAGAATCTCCATCAAACGAATTCAATTGTTTTTGCAAATAGATCGATCATTTGGGCCAGCATCGTCTCCAAAATTATAAGTACTTAAAACTAATCTCGTCAACTAATATTTGTATCTTTATTTCCGTAAAACTCTAACAAAAGTCATTTCGTTGTCATGGACACGTATCGCAAAGAGTGTGCCTCTTTGAAGGATGAAAAATTATATGTCATGGAAGTGTTTGTAGACTATGTCAGTTTGTACGCCGAGAAGTTGAACAAGGTAAATCCCTCCTCGTTGGGCGTCGATATGCAATTCGCAGATATGCCATTGTTTCGAATATTTCAAACCGACTTTTTATTAACTAAATCGGAGAGGGATAAAGAAGCATCGCGAGAAGCTGGCTTTCGTAACGTTCATTTCAATGCTGGCAAGTTGTACATTTTCACCAGGAATCCCGGTGAATTGGTAGAGAGGCTACGATCGAAACCTTTATTATTGGACGTGTACAGAATCAAGGAGATTCGTATATGTCCCGAGGAGGTGGTGAAAGAACCGTTGGGAAATTCAAAAATTCCGATGTCAGGTTGTCTCTGCGATCACGTGATGATGGCGAGCAACGACATTTATCATTTGCCCAAGACATATGAAATAAACAACACCTTCGGTATGGTGGACGAGGAAAATCAACCGTCCGGCTTCATTGCTGTGAATTTACGGTTAACGTGCTTCGGCACGTACACGTCCAACATGTTTTCGATAGTCGAACAGAAGATGCTTTTCAAGAACACCGGATCGTTCAACGAGTTTTTGTGCACGAAAGTGCTGTACGAAGACGAGGACGAAAGAAGAGCCGCGGAGGAGAGCACAAAATTTTGTTTGCCCGACAAAGTGTTCGAGGAAAGCGAACTGGATACGCCGCCGAAACCGGTGAACATAGCTGGTCTCGTATTCGTATGCAGAGAACTGTCTCGAAGGGACGGGTACCCCGCGGAGGTGATTCCTCCGAATTATCCACCGAAAATCCCTTACACGGACGTCGAGGAGAGAGAATTCAACGTCGACAAAGCTCGACGTAAAGGTTTCGACGACATAACACCTGTCCGTCCAGAGTTCATGATACGGAAGCAGGCTTTTTCAGAACAGACCGGATGCACCAATACCTCGTGTCCTGGTAGCATTTGCATTGGAAAAAAATGCTGCTAAATTTTTCGTACGAACTCTGATTTATGTTGTCTTTGGGTTGGTTTTAATTTAATGGGCGTAGAGTAGATTGGATTTTCCTTTTAAAGGAAAAGGGTATCATGTCAGAGGATTCGGTAAAGAATTAAACTCTAAAAATTCATTGCTTAATCCCAAGAAAAGAGTAATTAGTAAATTACCAGGCAGTGATTTATTACGATGGCGGGAAAATATCTATTGTGGCGCCATCCACGGCAAAACGTCCAAGTTTGTCGAGAAATAGTTCGTTCCCCCAACGCTAGACGGCGCCCCAACACACAATAGATCGAAAAATATCTTCAACGATTGAAATTGGCTGAAATAGCTGATAATGTTCGACTGAAGTGAGTCAAAGATTTCTTGTAACATCAATATAACATATTTTTTCATTGAAATACCTATGCCAATATAAAATGGCAAAAAATTAGATTCTTGCTTGTGACAACTATGGACTAAAATGACTGTTGCTGTTTTAAGAGAAATTATCTAGCTAGGTTTTACTACTGATCGTAAAATATTCAAATATAAGGATCTAGGGAGTTTATTTCAGTATTTTAGGGACTACTAATAAATTTGGTCTTTTCGATATAACGATTCGTAAGATAGTGTGATGTGTATATGCATAAAGTAATGTAAATTAACAATTTCAGTTCAAATATAAAGTTTAAAGTAACAATTCGTATTGGTAAAAATTTTATCTGTACATTTGACACACTTCTTTATCGTGTTCCTTTCTTCTGTTAAGTAGTTAATGGTAGCCACCCTTGACGAATGCCATCATCGAAGTAAATCTGCTCAAAAGTTTCAAGTCATTCGTTAATTCGTATGTTCGATTGAGATTTAATTGTCTGGGATCTTTGTAAAACAATGGATGAAATGAGTGTTATTCTCCCGGACAAGGTATTTTTATATTTGTTTGTGTATTTTTCCCTTAATTTCGAAGAAAAGATTTTAAATCATATTTAAGTTTAACGTCGCTTATCGTAACCTCAATTCGTTGTTAAAATTAAATTTTGTCTAGACTATGTTCATTGTACTCCTTCACTTCGTTACTCGATTAAATTAAAATTGTATAATATAATTGTAGGATATTGGAGAAATGGATTGTAAGCCTGTAACTGGACACTATACTGGTGCCGGGGATGAATTGGATGTCGAAGATTTGTACACCAAGTATAAGGTATAAAGCAACGATATTTATTTATTTCATGATTTTATTCACCAAATAAAAACAAAAAAAAGTCTGTTTTACAACTTAACTCAAAGTATAGTATTGTACTTTGGTATGTTTGCTTATTTATATTTAATTTATTACGAGCTAGAATTTTATGACGGTGATTTTAAATTTAATAGAAACTGCAGAGAATGTTGGAGTTTCTTGAGGTTCAAGAAGAATATATCAAAGATGAACAGCGTAACTTGAAGAAGGAATATTTGCATGCTCAAGAAGAAGTAAAGCGCATACAGAGCGTGCCTTTAGTTATCGGGCAGTTCTTAGAAGCTGTAGACCAAAATACTGGTATAATAGGCTCTACCACAGGCTCTAATTATTATGTACGTATTCTGTCTACGATCGATAGAGAATTGTTGAAGCCTTCTGCTAGCGTGGCGCTTCATAAGCATAGCAATGCTCTGGTAGATGTTCTGCCACCGGAAGCTGATTCGAGCATCTCTATGTTACAAGCAGGTACATATTTATCACTGTTAGAATTCCAATTGAGAAAACAATCTATCTATTATTTTATTTTATAGACGAAAAGCCGGATATCCAGTATAGCGATATTGGAGGTATGGATATGCAGAAGCAAGAGATCAGAGAAGCAGTAGAGCTGCCTCTTACTCATTTCGAGTTGTATAAACAGATTGGAATTGACCCACCTAGGGGTGTATTAATGTATGGTCCACCTGGGTGTGGTAAGACTATGCTTGCAAAGGCAGTAGCTAGACACACTACAGGTATAAATTATAATATTCATAACTTTATACATTCCTGTACAGATTGATCGGACACGATTATTATATTTTTCAGCTGCATTCATTCGCGTAGTAGGCTCTGAATTTGTACAGAAATACTTGGGCGAAGGGCCAAGAATGGTCAGAGATGTTTTCCGTTTAGCTAAGGAAAACTCGCCTGCTATTATTTTTGTTGATGAAATTGATGCTATTGCTACAAAGAGATTTGATGCTCAAACAGGAGCTGATCGCGAAGTGCAGCGTATTTTGTTGGAGTTGCTCAATCAAATGGACGGATTTGATCAGACAACTAACGTTAAAGTTATAATGGCTACAAATAGGTAAAACTTTCGTAGTTTTGATATTGAAAGAATAAATGATATTGCACAGTTACAGTCGCCTTTACTTTTTGCAGAGCGGATACATTGGACCCTGCCTTGTTGCGTCCTGGTAGATTAGATCGAAAGATCGAATTTCCTTTGCCCGATCGCCGACAGAAACGTCTGATCTTTTCAACGATCACTGCGAAAATGAATTTAAGCGAGGAGGTGGACCTCGAAGATTACGTGGCACGACCAGATAGAATCTCTGGCGCTGATATAAACGCGATTTGCCAGGAAGCAGGAATGCACGCGGTTCGTGAGAATCGTTACATAGTGTTGGCGAAAGATTTCGAGAAGGGTTACAAAAACAACATTAAAAAGGACGAATACGAGCACGAGTTCTACAAATAAAACGGTGGAAGTATATTCGTATATATCATTTATATTTTATGGCTCCATATGTATTTGCAAGTTAATGTATTACTATGAATCGAATAATCAATACACGTTTACACAATTTTTGTGTGTGCATCTTTGCGCGTATGTGTGTGTTTGTATTTATTTTTCCTGACCATTGGAATTTAGTCGCATCTCTCGATTTATGTGCGCGAAACGTAGTTGACGTTATACATATTACGTGTCACTAGCAATCCATATGTCAATTATTTTTTTTATGTATTTATACTAAATATAGATATTATAATGTATACGATTTGTTGAACAGCATAGTTACATTTTTTAATTGGAATTTGTCGGAACTGTAACGTACTGTATGAACTTGGTCAAAGTTACTCCTAGTCCTTAATGGCTAAAACAACAAAAAACGCCTTCACTGTGGTCGTCCATTTCGAAATGTTATGAAATATAACATCGCATCAATGTTGAAAATAATTCAATTTATGGTTATTAAACGCAGCGAAAAGATATCGCTGTGTATTAAATAAAAGTGATCCGTTTTGATTTAAATAGTGTATTACGTGTTTACGTTATTAAGACATGTAAACATAACCTAAAATAATAGATAGTAAATAATTTGTTAAAATCATTCGTATTTGATAGTGCAAATAAATTGTATTACGATGAATTTGCCACGACTACTAATAATCAGCACAGAAAAAGGAAAAGCTAACGAAATTGCTACCAGTAAGTTGATGTTTCAGTGTTTTTTCTTTTTCGACAACATTTTCGTGAAGTAACAAATAAATTAGACGTCGAATTTGTCAAACAAATACTCAAACAATATAATTGTTATCTAAATAAAAGTTTTATCACAGAAATTGTTTTCTTTTTTTCATTTCGCAGGTATAGGAGCAGAGAGATTATCTAATCACGACTATTTTGAGTATTATCTATGGAATATTCAGAATAAGTATTACAGGACACAAGTGTTAGTGTGTGTTACAGAAAATCCATCTCCAGGTATTCCGATCGACGGCGTAGAAGCATTGATCGTGCATCATGATCCGCAGGCAGTAAGATTCTTATTTTTAGAGAGAACTTTTAACAAGACAAATGATTTTTGCCATTAACTTTCTCAGGAAAATGCAGAACACAATTTAAAACAATGGTCTTCTTTGATTACTTCTTTAATGGAAGCAGAAGTATTATTATTTTCTTGTAATTGTATAACAGATGTTCTTATCAGAGACAAAGGTATAATAATTTATTTATACTATAAATCTTATTATATTATAGAACATTAACTCTATATTTTTTGTTTTAGTAATAAAATGGTGTTTACAAAAGAAGTTTGAATTAATTGAATTAAATAGACCCGATACAGATGTTTCGGAAGCTGATTTAGAACATAACAAATATGGCATTGAAAGGATTATCGAAGCTTTACATGCTCATACGTGGCCCAACATGATACTGAAAGGTTTTCAATAAAAATTACACTTGAGTCTAGACATTAAGATATTAAACTCCTTACGATGTAAAATGTATCATTGATTTTTATTTTGTAGGGAAATCGTCGAGTACGGAAGATCAAGGCTCTGACATGGATGAAGTTGAAGAGCAATTTGAAAATATCAGATTGTCTCAGGATGTCACAGAGATATTTTCAATGGAGAACATGCTAGGTCAGTTGGAAACAAACTTATTAAAAAATGCGTTTTAAATTGATGTAAATCTTTTATTTCAGATGGAATTATGGGGGAAGAAAATACAGATTTTGGCGAATTATTTAGTCAATTAATGGCTATGAAAGAACATGCTGCAACACTACCGACTAATCAAAGACGAATAGCAGCTGAACAATTAGTTAATGCATTCTGGAAAGCGATGGGAGGTGACCCTTCAGAAACTGAATTAAACTAATTTATGCATTAATTATATAATGCGCATAGATACCTACCACACATGCATAATTGCTTATGACTTATGATAGAACTGTTCTGGTATATTGGTCTGAATTGAGCGCAATAATAAAGCCAATCGTTATAACAATAGAAAAAGAAAAAAAAAAAAAATAACATAGTCTTGCATGTATCAAATATACATTTAAATTCTGTATATGAATTACATCTATACTATAATTTCTTCAATACACTACGCTATACAATCTCTTTTATTCAAGACGAATAAAATTACGTATGTTTCCTTACTATACCCCCCTGTTTATTCCTCATCTATTGGCATCCTTGCTTTTTGCCGTATACACGAGCGTCTATAGTTGCCGGCCTGCCGTTTGACTAAAATGTCTGACGCTTTTCACGCAGTAGCTCCGTTTGACTTGGACGAGCACAGAAACGGAACAGTGGAATTAAAAACGTTCGCACGGCTGAAACGTTCGAGTTGTGACGCGCGAAATATATTGTCATTTTTATTACGGACAACATGTATTCGTCGGTTACTTAGCGCTTGGCACGGAGTAAGTTACTGTAACAACCGATAACAGAATAACTGTGTGATATTTTGTTCTCGTTTTTAATACTTCTTCGCGATCCAATTGTATTTTATTGGCCAGTGACAGTTTTACGGGATACCGCTAAGAATAAGCGTGTTTCCTTTGTGGTATTTAGTCGTAGTAAATATATGTGAAAATCAAGTACTCTACACCTTATATTACAGTACATTGCTTTATTTCATATTTTCTCGAACAAGATATATTTTTACGATTCGAATCGTTTTCTATTTCAATATTTCGTCTATTAACACTGTGTCAGAAATACCTTTTATTATGAAAATCCGGAATGAAAATTGCTATTATTGATGATTAAGTGGATTATATGACTGCTCCTTGTAACAAGGTTCTTGTGTGTGTATGCACATGTGAATGTTTGCATTCAAAATGTATCAATCTTGTTTTATACGAATATGAATTATTTTCTACGATACTCGCAACACGCGAAAATTAAGATAAAAAAGTTACTTATGCGATTAGTAATTTCATGCGCAGGAAATTTGATTGTTTTTGAACGTTTAAGTTATAAAAAAATTATAATGTATTCCGATGAGAGTGTAAATGACATAGTTTTTGTTTTTTTAGAGTTTAACATATATTAAGTATGAAAAATAAAATTTTCATCGATACTTACAATAGTTGCTTGAAAGAACAATTACATATGCGATAAAATAAGACCTTGTCAATGACAGAGATAGACATAGCGATCAATTCACCAGAAGGTAATTTTTCTTGATGATTTGTTTACTTCCACTAGTGTACCAGCATCATTTTTTTTTATTATTTTTATATGATTTTGTACGTAGAAGAACCCGAAAAGAAAAGTATTAACACAATGTCACAGTCGGAGGATGCTTATGCTCCAGAGGAACCAACACCAGACATTCCAATATCTTTGCTTGACATACAAATGCCAGAAACACCGGATAGCACGAAAGGTCAAGTCAGCGATGGAGACACGCCCAGGTTGGAAAGTCCTAAACTGCTTAAACCCGTGCTAGGAAAAGTACAAGCGAAAAAAAGATTGATGGCATTTGTCAATAAGTTCAGCGTGCTACCAAAGGTTCCAAATAAATCCAATTTAGTTCAGACTCACTCTGCGAAAAGTTCCAAGTCTAAAATAAGCGATAGTAAGTCTTTACAAAATGAATCAAGCGCAGGGTTAAGTATGGATTCGGACTCTATGCAACAGTTCCATAATCGTCATTCAAGTAGTGGGAAATTAAAGAAAAAAACAGGTATCGTTAAATGAATTTAACTTAATGCGTTCACAGTCCACTGACCTATATGCGGGTTAGACATCTGCTGATCTATATATAGTTTAGGAGATTTTTCATTTAGAAATCTGCAAAAAAAGAAGTTTATATTGTTTAGCAAAAGAAAGCAGTTATTGTTATAAGCTTGTTACTTTTTGGACTGTGTGAGTAGATCCACACTCTCAGGCCTGGATAGTGAACGTGTTAATGTATTTTCTAACATTAGCAAAGTGTATATTTTAATTATTTAATAATGCAACTATGTAGAAGAAAAGATACTGGCTATTGAAGAAATTAGACGAGAAGAGTCTAAAAGTAAAATGTTATTGGCAGAAGCTATGGCTGCAGGTACTTAATCGCATAATATGTAAGAGGAGGATTCATTATTTACAATAATTTATATTCTTTGCAGCTAGTTTAGAAGAAGATAGCTATGCAAATAGAAATGGACAAAATTTATTAGAAAATGTAAAAAGTATGAGAGACAGAAATAGACAAGATAATATTAGTGTTTCTCGTAAAAGTGCTTTAAAGTCATTGATAGAAAATAAATATTCCGAGAGGTATAAAAATCTTGCTTTATATTACAAGTATTGCAATCATTGTTATATGTGATTGTACTACTTACATTTTTTGCTGAGCACAGATGATGTTTAGAATTTTTTTTAAGGAGGCGATACGGTAGAGAAGAACGAAAAACTAGCATAAGTAGAGAAACGAAAGATTATAACGGAAGTAAAGAACGGTATTATAAGGTCTCCTCCTATGATAGAGAACAGCGTAGAAAAGAGAAAGATAAAAAAGATGATAGAGATAAGCGAGACGATACTGGTAAATACGAAGAAAACCGAGATAGAAAAGACGACGAACGGGATAAAAAGGATAATGAAAAAGACAGGTGGGATGACGTAAAGGAAAAAAAAGTAACGAGGGAGAAAAAGGAGAATTTTAGGGAAAAGAGAAGCGTTTCAAGAGAAAAGAGTTCAGAGGTTCGAGAGAAAAAAGAGAAAGATAACAAAGATAAAGACAAGGGAAAAGAGAAAGATGTAACGATTTCTTCGTGGACGGAGCTGAAAAAGTGTGGTATAATGATGGACGATATTATCAACATTAGAAGACGCGATTACTCGGAACGATCAACAAAGAACAGGTTTGAAAGATATTTGAATTCACTTGTATGGTACTTGAAATATATGTTTTATGTAATAAATAAATGTTGAAAAATATGTTTTACAGAATAGCTGAGGATTATCAACGTTACTTCGAACAAATGTTACTGTTAAACAATTGTCGTTCGAAACGATACGCTTATACCGCTGAAGGACTCGACGGACCTAAAGAATATCCTCCCGAATCAGTGAGAGTGACCAAACGAGGAAGACCTCAATTACTTTACTGCGAAAATCCTCGCATATCGTTGTTTCTTAATCGCGAACAGGTTCTTCAAGTCGTCGCTGCCGATCGCCGTGAAAAGATGCGGGAGATATGCGAAGCAGATTTTACACGGTATATCAAAATGTCTTTTACCTCTTCAGTTTTCCTTTACCCATTCAGATCCTAACAATTCTAGAGATAACGCGGAAGAAGTGGAGAAGCCGTCGCGTGTCCGTAATTGGTATCCGAAAACAGGCATGTGTAAATTCAGCGAGAAGACTAAATGGCAGTTCCCTATTAGCGTGCAACTTCCTAGATCAAAGTGGGACAGCGAGGACGAGGACAGGTTAACCAACGACACCGAGAAAGAACAAGAGAGCGAAGTAAAAACGGACGAAGCTGTTTCAGAAAAAGGTAAACTTTTTAAGATAATAGTAAAACATATTTTAGTCTCTTGGGGTGAAAGCAATAATGTACAAAATTTGTTTCAGAACAAGAGGCATTTTCTTCGCGTTCGAGCGTAGTAGAGGAGGATGTTACCGTCAACGAAAAGATCATCGATGAAGTTAGCGAATCGTTTAACGTCAAAGAAGTAAACGACGACGATAGACAATCAACATCACCGTTGCTGCAATCTGCAGGCAACGAGAAATTGGCCTCGGAGTACGAACAATTCATGAAGATGGTTTGCACCGATATTCCAACATCGGAGGACTACTCGCCAAAAGCGATCAACACCAAATCCACTTCGTCGTTAAGTTATCACGACTTTAATATAGAAACGAATTTACCGGAGGACAATAATTTCGCGTTCGTAGAGCATGACATAACTGAAAATTCAGATAAAGCCAATACAAGCAAAGCGGAGGAGGAGACGATTAAAGGCGACGAGAGTCGGAAGAATTTGGAGAAAATTTCTGAAGCCGTGGACGATCACGTGTCTTTGAGCAGTTCTCACATTCAGGTAGAGGAGTGCGCGAGAGACAACGAAGAGATTCGCGAGAAAAGTGACACGGATGATTCCAGATCGATTCCCAGCGATTGGGAGAATGTTCAGATTAAAGTGGAACGTCTTAGCGACGATAACTCCGACTCGAGAGAGACGAGGAAGAAGAAGAGACGAAAGAAGGTGACTTCCAGTAGCGAGTCGTCTAGCACATCGAGCTCTTCGGATTCCGAGGAAGAAACAAAGAGTAGGAGAAGGAAACGAAAGGTAGCGAACGACGAGTCGAGCTCGGATTCGGATAGCAGCGAGAGCAGCAGCAGCAGTAGCAGCAGCGACTCTTCTAGCTCCGACGACAAACGAAAGAAACGAAGGAAGAAGAAACGAAAGGCCGAGAAGCGAAAGAAGAAAGCGAAACGAATAGCCAGGACGAAGAAAAAACGAAGAAGAAAAGTAAGTTCCGACTCTAGCAACAGCGATTCCTCCGACGAGAGAAGGAAAAAGAAAATTGTGAGCAAAAAGTCAAAACAGAAACAGGAAACCACGAAGAAGCAGGTTAACAACGAAGAGATAGTGAAAGCAAAGTCGCCTTTGGAGTCTCCGTCGCTGGAAAGCGCGAAGCTGATGCGTTCGCGTGTTTCGACGAAGAAGATCAAGGAAGAGGCCAAGGTCGAGTCTAGAAAGAGATCCACGGAGAAACGTGACATTTGGGGGAAAGAAAAAGAGCTGGCGCGTAAAGTGATCATCGAGAATAGCGCGTGTACCAAAGCTCGCAAAGACGAGGGTCAAAGGAGCAAAGCTGAGGAAAGATATTTGGAGGATTGGGAAATGGATTCTGTGACAATATCGCCGCAGAAGGCAGACAGGGTACCGAAAAGCGTTATCGAGAAAATAGAAAATCCAATGGTGGAGGATCTTAAAAAGATGGAGAAAAAAGACGAACGAAGTAAGAAGGATGAGCGAATCAAAAAGGACGAACGGCTGAAGGAGCAATGCTCGAGCATCGGTACGGAAATCGTGCAAGGACAATCGAAAATCGAAGAAGACAACGACGCGAAGAAGAGAAAGAAACGAGAGAAGGAGAAGAAAAATAGCAACGAATTTCTAGCCGATTGGGAGAAAGAAAGTGAACGAGTGTCGCAGCATATGATGCAAGACGAGGCAAAGTTGTCCAAGAAGTTGGACAGGTCGAAGAAGGAGAAATGGGGAGAGACTGAATTTGATACTCTAAATGTCCTGTCTTTGACGCAGTTGGAGAGGGAAGTGAATAAAAGGCAGCTATTGGCAGATGATTGGGAAGTGGATAGCTTGGAGGCTGCGCCGGACTTGTCGATCAACAAAAAGAAATCTACCCGCGGTTCGAAAAAAGTGGAGAAAGAAGTTCGTTACGATAAAAAAACCGACACGTACATCTCTATAGAGAAGGAAAGTTCAAGAGAATCGAAGAAGAGGCAAGATCGACTCTCCGCGATGAGAATCTGGGAGGAAGAGCAGGAAGAAGGTGAAAGGGAAGCTATGATTCTTATGGAACAGAAAACTAAAAGAAAAAGGGACGAATGGGACATCGAGGAGGAATCGTACTTGCGAGAAAAGAACGAGAGAAAAGAGACTATAGAAGACAACATCCCTAAGATTGATATTCACAAAGAAATAATTACAGCTAATAACGACATAGATACATCAACAAAGACAAGTACTGTTAAAAAGAATAAGAAGAGTCGTTGGGACATAGCGTCGCAGTCTGAGGAAAAAATCGAACTTAAAGCGCCTGTTATGTGGGAAGAAGAATGCGCAGAATGGGCAACTATAAACAAATTCGAATGTAAAACTGATAAAATATTCTTAGAACGTTGTGATTCGCTGTTACCTAAGAACAAGATAAAAGATGAGGACATTTGTATGGTTAATCAACAATCGAGAAAGTCTATGTCAAAGAATTCAGATATTATTGATTTGTTCTCAAGGAATTCTCAAGATGTGAACTTGCTGGAATCATCCTGGGCCACGGAAGAGCTTATCAAAAGCAACTCGCGAATAAAGAACTTGGAGAACAGTTCTCAAAGGGACATATTCTTCGAAAAGACGAAGGAAGAAGCGCTTGCGTCGGTTATAAAGGAACATCAGGCTGTAGAACAATTAAAAGACATGTTTGAAATGGATGTAAAGTTGACTAGGAAGAATATTGAATTATATAGTCCTAGTTCTCCAGCACCGTCTCAAAAATCCGAGGTATGTTTTTATATTTATCATACGTATTTATTATTTAAAATAGACACAATTTGGTAATTGCTAATTTTTCAGGATATGGAAACGTTTGAGAAAGAACACTCGAGCTCGTTAAATCTGAAAGAAGATTTCTCCCCGGACAAGTTGAAAAGGGAGACTTCGATCAAGTCCGACGAAGAATCAATTTCTGTTTCCAACATACCTCTTCAGATAAAGTATCGAGAAGACAAATATGGGATGTCTACAGTAACGAAAGAAGAGTTCGAGGAACTTCTGGGCATGCAAGCAGAGGATCAACTGACTCCAAAAAAATTCGACGTGAACAAAGAGTTTGAAGTGTTGCCCGGTATGCTTTCGATCAACGAGCCATGTCTCGAGACGAACGCTTACAAACGACTGCGAATGGACATATTCGCCGAGTACGAGTCGGACGAATCTCGTGGTAAATTAATCGCGAAGAACGTTCAAGTGGCATCATCTGCTAACACGAAAGAGGACGAGTCGACCGAAGGGAAAGCAGCTTTGAAACTGATCCCCAAACAATTGTTGGTACGACGTAATAACGAGCGCGTGAAAACGAAATTGATCTCTGACGATCCCATACAGCACGCGGCAGCTCTTTTGACGATCCAGAAGAAATTGCGAGAATCGCACACTGTGGAAATTGACGCGAAGAACAACGTCACTTGCGAGGACCCTTCAAACGAGTTTATGATCGAATGTGAGAAAACAACCGACACGTCCGCCTGTAACGTCGTTCCTACGGAGCAGACCACCGTCACCGATGTTAAAGTCGACTCCAAGGACTTGTCCATAACGGTGAAAACTTCGATCACGACCAAGTCGGAGTCACCAGGTTCGATAAAGTTCGATGTGGATCGCGTCGGGGAATACAAATTAAGCGATAAGGGGATCGACAAAGCGGAGGAGCTTAAGAAACCGAGATCCAGCGGCAAAGATGTCAGCGATACGGAAACGCAGACTAGATCGCTGATCGGGGAGCAGAGAAAGAGAAGTCCTGGTAAGAAGGAAAACGACAAACGAGTCAGTGATCGAGGCAAAGAGAGGAGGGAGAGGAAATTTGATGATAGAGATAGAAATGACAGAAGAGATAGCAGAAGTTTGAAACAGGACTACTCTGATGGTAGAAGGAGATCCAGTCCTTCGAGTAGTCGTGGCAGAAAACGAAGAAGCGTTAGTCCACATACCTCTTGGGAGAGAGAGAGAAGCCACAGCGAGAGTCATAGTCGTAGTTGGAGTAGAAGCAGAAGCAAGAGTCCAAAGAGGAAGGATGAATCGATCGCCTCTTCGAGCAGGGAGAAACGACCTGGTAGAATCGACGAAGAGAGATGTGGTAGGCCTAGGACAGACGATAGGAGAGAAAGACCTATGCGGAGTCCTTCGCGACCCAACGCTACACCATATAACAAAGGTATACTTAAACTTTCCACGGTTCATCCCATCTTCTTCCAAATTCTAACCATTCTTCCTTTGTTCCTTCCAATGTTGCTTGACTTTGATACTCATGGATTTGTATCGATTATTTTTAGACCACTTCAAGAAGTATGGACCCACCAAAGGAGATCGTGATGATTGGAGCAGGAGAAAGTATGACCCTATGGAAAGGGATCGAGAGAAAGAGGGAAGACCGTACGATCCTATGGAAGTGTTGAGGGAAAGAAACATAGATCCCGACAGGCACAGAGAGGGTAGATTTAGAGCAGAAGAAGTCGATCGGTCATTTTGGCCATACGAATCTGAAAACGTGGTGTCGCACGATGGAAACGAATCGTTGGACTCTTACGCCAATGGCCAAGCATTGGATCTCGATTATGACGAGAAAGCATACTATAGAGAGGAGAGTATCGAAAGAGATAACTTGGAGGGTCCTCTTCGTTCCATGGCAAAGTTCAAACAAAGGTACTACGTATGTTTTAACGCAATAAACCTGTCCATGTTATACACTCTTAACGCTAAAAATTATTGTGTTACTTTAACAGGAGAAGCAGATCTAGTACAAGAAGAGACAGGCAATGGGAGAAAGAAAGAGATTCGTTAGATTTGGACAGACATGCGCATGCTCGAAGAACTGAAAAAATTCCACCGTCGAGAGGACGTTCTCCGCCTCGACTGCGACGCTCACCGCCCAGAGTATCGCACGATCGCTTCAGACGGGGATCTAGATCGCGATCGAGATCGTGGTCGCGATCGCGTACTAGGTCTAGATCAAGAACGCGATCGCGTTCACGATCAACGTCCAGGTCTAGGTCGATGATGCGATCAAGATCGAGATCCAGATCGAGATCGCGATCGCGGACTAGATCTACCTCGAGATCGAGAATGAGGAGTCCCAATCACGGGTTAAGAATGACGGAACATTTACAATCCTCCAGGTGAATGTTAACAGAATGTTGATAATGTTAATCGTTGCTCGTGTTGGACGGTCGATAAGCAGTTTTACTGTCAATTCAGATCACCCTCTCTGGGACGAGGTAGAGTCGGCGAAAACTCAAGGGAAAGGAAGGATGAACACGATAGTAGGAATCTAAATACCTGTGCCGAGAGGGGTAGACGCATAGAAACCATTGTTCAATCCGTGTCCGGACTTCCTAGAGTTACGGCCGACTCGGCCGTATTGCACTCGGAAATGCACATCGGTGACAATATGGAAACAGTCGCATCTAGTTTCCAATATACAAACGAGAACGAAGTTGGGAACGAGTATTACTATAGCGAGAATAATTTAACCTATCCGCCGTGTATCGACGACTCAACGACGAGTTCACCGAAACGTTTGTCCCTCGACGATAGGTAATCCTCACGTCGTGTCGTGTTCGGAACCCTGGTATTCACCAGCCTTCCTTTCCACTGCTTCCCAAACCTGCACACCGATTACTCCCAACACCGAACAAAACCATATTCTCCGCTTTGTACTCGTTTGATATATTCATTATTTCTATTATAGACTGGAACTCGAGCTGGGAATTAAGAAACAGCAAGACAGCGCGGGAGTGATGAACGATTATCCTGACAATTACAATTCCAACTTGTGTTATCCATCATCGCCGCAACAACAAATGCTGTATCGTCAGCAACCTACAGTGTTACAAGTAAGATTTAAATGGGTTAATACAGAATTCATTTGTTTAGTATCTACGGTTTACATATTTATATTAAATATATCTAAAAGGTGGGCAACGTGTTGCAAGTGGTACCAGCAGACTTCAATGGAGTTCCAATTGTACGTAGGGAGCCAACAAGTTCCACACCAGCTCCCATTGTACAAGGTTCTAGCCAAGTTGTACGCGTAGGTAATGTTCTTCAAGTTGTGCCGACATCGTTAGACTGGAGTGGTGGGCAATCCTCGTCGGTCGACCAACCAGCAGGGATGATGTATTCCGCGACAGTACCACAGCCTTCTCCGGTACCTTCAGTCCCTCCTATCTCTGTACCTGTTCCAGTTCCAGTTCCTATGCCAGTACCAGTTCCATCCGTGTTAAGTACATCAACGCCGGTTTCCGCATTGTCACCGGTCCCATTATCTCTCACTGTACCTGTGCCGGTTCCGGTCCCAATTCCAGTGCCGCAGACTACGTTCCCCAGAACAGAAGTTGCACTTCCAAGTAAGTCGATTGAAAGTTTCAGTCATCCGGATGAGAGCAGTCTCAGATACTCCACTCTGTATTATTGTTTATTGTTTGTTCGTTTGATTATTTCTCCGTAGAAGCACCAGTTCAGCCAGTATATAATTACGAGGCTATTCTCGAGACCCGTCGCAAAGAAAGGGAAGAACGCAAACGAGTGCGGGAGATGAGGAGAAAGGAGAAGGAACGCAGGCGAATAGAGCGGATCAATCGACGCGCACTTCGACTGTTGGAAAAGAATAACTCGCGTCAGTCGGATAACGAAGGTCAACCAAAGACCTCGAGCTTGGATCCGGCTGTCCTGAAAGCTCTTCGAGAAGCCGAAGAACAAACTGATTTGGAACAGCAGCAAACATCTTCCGCAGCTTCCGATAAAGAAGAAGAACCAGTTGCTACATCCTCTGCTGCTGCGGAAGAAGAAGACGTGATTGCCGATGAGGACGAGGAGGAGGAGGAGGAAGAAGAAGCCGAGGTAGAGGACGACGAGGAAGATGAGGAGGAACCAGAAGATGACGAAGAAGAGGAGGAGGAAGACGATGAGAAGACTTTGTTGCGATTAAACAATCAACGAAACGAAGTGGACGAAGTTGCCGTGGCGACGACGAGCGAAACTAGCAAAATCCAAGTCGAAATGGAGTCCTTGGAGTGGCCAGAATTACCACCACCGCCCTTAAAGGGAATTTTAGTTGCTCATGGTTTTAGGTATGCGAAACTATCGAGATTCTGAACATTCTCAGGGATCTCGTCCTGATTCCCAATGCTCCTAATTATTATATGTTTACGTTTTAGAAGATCCTTGGTCCCCAATGGTAACCTGGACGATTTATCTACTCCTGAAAATGAGAGCGAAGACAACGGGGACAGAGAAGGGTTGGAAATAGAGAGAAACTATGAACTCAGTAAGGATGAAACTGGTGACAATAAGTTTTGGAAATCAAAAGCTCAAACCAAGACGAAATCGAGGTCGGTGAAACTGAACAAGAAAAAACAAAAGAGTAAAAAGTCGGTCCAGTTCGCGGATGGAATCAAACCTGGAGAAGGTACGAGTCCCAGTGGCGGTGAAGGAGATATGCCATCCCCTCCGCCTCCCACAGCCGTGGTTACTCGAGATGGAACTCGAAGGTCGAGCTCCAGAAAGAGTAGGAAACAAGAAAAGAGAACACGACCACCGAAGGCAAAGAAAAAAGTGAAGGTTTGTTTCATCCATTTTTCAATTGCGTTGGACATATCAATTCTGGTTATGCTTTTTGATATCAGTAGTCTAACGAGTGATATTTGTCAGGTAAAAATAATAAAATTGAAGAAGCCGCGCGTCACTCCGTTAACGGCGATGATGATGGACGATTCGGACGAGCTGGACGATCGTTCCCCGCCGCCGCCACCTCCTGGTTCACCGCCGCCGCCGCACCTTTGGCCAAGCTATCTTTCCGCTTATAATTCCACGGCACGACTTAGCGAAGTTCAAGTGACAACGCCTGCGACCCCGAACACCGCTCAAGCTCCACCACCCCCCACTCCTTTGCCACTTTTAGTTCCTCCTCCTCCTCTAAATTATACGATACAACCATGTAGCAAGGCGTAAGATCTTTCGTGTATTTTAAGGAAAATGATATACACGCCAACGTGTGTGACGTCTTTAAGTTAAACTTTGTAAATTGAACACAACACGAATAGATTCGTTTCTCCGCGCGAAAAAAAAATGGAACTCGAGAACGTGAGGTGGTTCTTGGTTACGAAGGCCAGCCAGGACGCCGAATTTCGTTGAAATTTCTGCGCGGGACTTACGGAAAATTCTGTATTATTGTTAGCAACAATTTTTATCGGTTGTTCTCGCTTTCTGTAAATAGCTTCATTTTTCGCGATACAACCGTGTTATCCTCGGTGCGAAGTGTTCCATTGCGTCCAAGTCTCGATGAATTCGTGTTACGTACGATATATTTTCGATACGATAAAAAAAAAGAAAAAAAGAAAGAGATCGAATACAATGGAAATTGTAAACTTAACGCGAGTGTAATTTATAACGTGAGACTCGGACTTTTTAAGACCGATTGTTAATAGCACCTTACATTGTTGAAGATGTAAGATGGTACTCGTGAAAGGCGAATTTATCATTGTATATTTTACTTTTATAGTTTACCACGAACTGTCTTCAACTTAGACATAGTTGAATAATGGGTCTTGATGCAATTCCATTCATTTTTTTTTTTTTCTCTCTTTGTTTTCTCTTCATTAAAGCTCATTCTATTTGCGGAAAAAAAGAGCCTGTACATAACGCGGGAATAGATGCGATTAGACCAAATTTCATATTAATCGATGAACAAGGCAAATATAAATTAAATAAAATGAAGCTGAGCTTAATCAACTAGTTCTCTAAATTTTTACATTCTCTGTACATAATATCGATCGATCATTGTTCGAACACGGATCGTTTCTTTTTACTTCGTGAATGCTCTTCTGCTTTATGCGAAACGATATTTCTCATCATTAATAAGAAAGACGTTCAACTGCCCATAGTTATCTGAATTCCCACAACTTTTTGAAGGATATCGATTTGTATTAAAAATAAACGTAATTCTTTTAATAAATGCTGTGCTTTCATTGAAGCTTACGCGAACCGTATTATTAAGGCGTATCTGTATTGATAAATATAGTACGCTTAATAAAAAAGTTTATTCGACTTAGATAAGAGTTTGGTAATGCAAAGTATTTCGATGCATCGGTCTAAACAATTCAGTCTCTGTGAATAACTGTAACCATACAGTTCAATATATTTTAACTAGAACCGATAAGAGGTAAAGTTTTAGTTCGAAGGAAATAGAATAATGAAAGTGGCTATCGTTGGAGGCGGAGTGGTCGGTTTAACAACGGCTTTGCAATTGCAACGAGAATTACGTAATGCCCAAGTTACGGTTTTTGCTTCAGACTTTGATCGCACCGTCAGCCATGTTGCTGCCGGGATATTCAGAGTCGGCTCTTCGTACTCTGGACCAACTGAAAAGATAACCAGGTGCACAATGTCGGATGCAATAAACTCACTAAACGATTGTTATTTTTCTCAATTAAATCCTTTTTCAGGGAATGGATACAAGACTCGTACGAATATTACGATGATATCCGTAAAACGCACGAAGCTTCGTTCGCTGGAGTAACAAGTATCTCCGGTTACATGTTTGCCAACTCCTCTCCGGAAACCGTTAAGGTTTACTTATTTTAAAAACATTTTTTCATACAGAAATTCGATGTACATAAAATAAAATTGATAATTCTTTATTCTCTCTACTTCGTAACAGAGTCACTGGATCGAGAATTTGGTGCCAGTATACAGGAGAACTACGAACGAGGAGTTTCAATTGGTTGGTGGTAACTGGAAATATGGATCGTTCTTCACGACTCTCCTTACAGATTGTAGACTGTACCTTCCATGGGCACGCAGAAAGTAATTAATTCTTATCGTCGAACAATGCTACAGTTTAAAATAAAACTTACGAAACTTTCTCATATTTACAGATTACAAGAAAACGGAGCAAAACTGGCGATTAAAAAACTGGCTTCCTTTGCAGAATTGGCTACAGACTGGAACGTGATTATAAATTGTACAGGTTTTGGTGCACGATCCCTGTGTAACGATAGACGTCTTGTTCCTATACGTGGCCAAGTAATCAAAGTACGAACCTTTTAGAAACCTGTTTCACGTTAACAAAGGTTTAATTTGTAAATGTTATAAAATCACTAGGTAGAGGCACCGTGGCTGAAAACATTCTTTTACGGCGAGTTGGACACTTACATTATACCAGGATTTAATGGTACGGTCACCCTCGGTGGCTCGAGAAGTTTCGATTCCGAAAATATGAAACTCTGCCCACACGAATCGGCGGCAATTCGCGAGAGATGCGAGAATTTCGTGCCAGCCCTAAAAAGGGCCACAGTTTTACGCGAGGAGGTCGGTCTGAGACCGCACAGGGAAAACAATGTCAGAGTAGAGGCCGAGCACATTACAAACGGATCATCCAAAGCCATTGTTAGTTCCAGAGGAGTGGTTTATTCCGTTGAATTTTTTGTTCAATCTCGTTATCACCGACGATATGTGTGTTACAGCTGGTGCATAATTACGGGCACGGTGGATACGGAGTATGTACAGCCCCTGGAACTGCCAAGTACGCCGTGACATTAGCAAGGGAAATGCATGGGTCCTCTGTTGCAAAATTATAATCAATGAACAAGTAATACACAACATTAATTATAAAATCCATTAACACATTCTGCGCCAGACTAATTTTCGGTAATTTTTCATACCGCGTAGGTCCAAACTGCTTAAAAACTGTTCCATTCAAGATGTGTGTATCAGGAGCTGTCCAAATTCGCTGATTGTTCACGCAGTTTGACAATCCAAGTTGAGTATCCGTATATCCTTACCAATAAAGTAATTATACTCGGGGACGTTTTACGTGAAATAATCGTTCGTGAATATATGCGATTTATTAACGAATTTACAGAAGAAAATCGTTAATACGCGCTAATACTGCGTGGTATAATTATGTTAACTTTTACGTGCAACACGATACACTCGCATTCCGATTGTAATCGCACGCTAAAGTTGACAAATTTTGAACGTAACTAAAGTGTTTCTTTCGTTGCCAAACGAATACATGGTATTTCAGTATAACCTCGTTCCTCTCATAATATGCTCCCAAAAAAAGCAGAACTATAAAACCTCCCCCTTTACACGTAGCGTGTCTTTATGTGTGATTTCAAGCAATTCATCTAACATGGTGCGTTGATAGGTAATGTAAAAAATTTAAGTAACAAAATACTGATTACTGTACTATACGTTCTCCCTTTGATACCATGCAACTTTTATTTGAAATAGTTTTTTTATAACAATATAGAAGTTATTTCAAATGATCAAGTTACGAAATTCAACCTGTATGCTTAACCATCTGCTAGAAATCACGCGCAAGAACACGCCGCTCTGTGTAAAGAAGATTTTAAGCAAAATCTTGAAACATCTTACGTCGCCTCTACATTTGAAAGGAGCAACGAAGCCAAATCAATGTATTCACCCGTGACATCTTCCAAACAGATACGAGACTTCGCACATACAATGCGTATTTAGTGCAGACCGTGACGTACCATTGGACAAGATGTTTAACAAATTCGTGAACATCTTTGCAAACTATCGCGCATAGTTGCTTCCTCGAGTGTTCATTAAACGTGTGAAATCTCACGTTGGCAAGGACTTTCACTACTTCTTGCCAGGTTTTACGTTTTTCCGAGGCGGTGCTCCCCACCTGAGCGCGGTGCTGTCCACAGTCAGCCGCGGTCTCTTGTACTGACTGCTTTTAATGTGCTCTTCGACCAGTTTAGGCGTTACGCAAATTACGTGTTGTCCCTTCCAGTACTTTACCATGTTCATACTCTGTAGCGTCGATATAATGTCCGTCTGTGAAATACTCGTCATCTGGCTGCAAAATTGTACCAGAAGTTATTGATTTTACAAAGCTTTGTTTCGATGGTTGTAACTTTCTTGCGACTTTACCTTAAATCTTTAATACTTAGAGTGCCTCGAAAATCTCTCAAGATTTCTAAAAGAATCCAGCTCCAATAACTTCTGTATGACAATTTTCCTAAATCGCTCAATGGCTTTTCGGGACTACCGACAGTCTGTTCTATTCTGCTCAGTTCGTAGCTGAAGGCGATTAAAAGTTTTCCGTATCCTTGTCTTTGAAACGGTGGCAACGTTAAAATGCAAGCGACGTTGTTACCGTCGGGCGATTCTTTCTCCTGAAAAATAATTACGTACGATGAGATAACATACATCAAAGATTAATTACAAACATAACAATAAACGGATAAAAAGTACCTTTGAAAAATAACCAACCAAATGCGCTCCGTGTTTATCAACTTCGCAGAGGATATAAAAAAGAAACGGTTCGACATCGAAATATAGAGTTTTGTGATCTAAGAATAATTTTGCTAGTAAGCATAAGTTTTGACAATATATTTTGTGTTCTCGACCGTCGACTTCCCAAATGCTCAATGTGCCTTTGCGATAGATTTCTTTTCCAACTGGTTGCCTGTGAGTACATTCACTCTAAAATCAAGACATTTAAATTGTTAAATTAAGATATTACCGATAAATATCAAATATTTTAGAAACGCTAATATTTTCCATACCATATGATATCTGTATGTTTTCTCGAGACGCATGTATTTCAAGCAGTATTCGCAAATCCATAGTTTAGGTTGTTTACCATACTCTTCTGGATACGGACTAAAGTACCAAGTATCAATTTCATATTTTCCTGGAAATGAACTTTTGAAAATAATGAGACCCTTTTCACACATAATCTTTAATAATAGAAAAGAAATAGATCAATGCTTACCAATTTGAATTTTGTCAATGTATTTGACTTTTGTTATTGCCTCGTGTTCTTTCTCCAAAGCTGCTGTTGTTGGATCCATTTCTGCATACGTCTATAATTCAGAATAATACAATGATAAGCTTTAGTAATGAAAGAATGTGCTCAGGATATGTAATTTAAAAAAAGTTTATACCTTTTGTACATGATTGATCTCGTCGTGCCTCCTTTTCTGATTTCTTGTAATTTTACGATCTGTGGAATCTGCCAATAAATCTGTACTGGAATTTCTATCTCCACACTTCCAGCTTCTATCGCTCATGTCAAATCTACTAGACATGATTCTGTCCCTTGGCACCCATTCATCCAATCTTCTATTATGTCCCTCATAGTGCACATAGTATTCATAGTGACCTTCACTTTCATTATATCGAGTTTGTATAATTTCTGCAGGGTCTGTTCAAAAATTAAAAAAAAAAAAAAAAAAACATTTCAGAATAACTTTTATTTTTGTTGTATCAGTTTTGAATAATTTTGTACATCAAATTATTTCGTATAAAAATTCATTTCCCTTTAAAATTACTTGCAACTTACAAGATATCGAATACATTTATTTTTATTCGGTATTTCACATTTATGCGTTCTCGATTCTTTACGAGATATTAAAATCACAAAACAGTAATAAAAAAATGAAATAGATCGTTCAAATGAAGCTAATCGTTGAGCTTGAACAGTGTTGGATTACTTTCTAAAGCGATACTGGCTCAAACTGTACATGACACGCCATAATGTTTTCAAAACAAGTACGATTTACCAGAGAAAAGCCGGCAATACAAACACAAACGCAAGATGCAAAAAAATCGTTCGAATTATTTTTAGTAATTTTAGATGATTCTGAACATAATCGCGATACAAAAATTATTCATAACGTGTGATAATAATATATTTACGCCAAGAATCGTCGGATCTGCGAACGAGATAGTGTTCGCCTATATCGAGAGGCAATTCTTCGAGGCTGTCCGCGTCATCGCCGGAACCCTTCCCGCCATTCGTCAACGTGTTCTCACGCTTTTCTTGCTTTACCATCGTTTCCTTAGATCCCATGGTACAATTCTCTTTACTCCTTTGTTCCGACTCGGCCATTTTACGAGGTATAAATCACTGGTCAGTTAGACGATATTCGCCACTGCAAAACGCTCGTAAATAAATGAACATTGCACTCGCTGATGCAACGACGACCGATACGGCCATGAAATTCTCTACGCCGTATACACAATTCTACACAATGCATACGTAAAGTAACTAGATCGTTCAAAGCGCATTTGCCGGAAATAACGATTTATTTTTTTTTTTTCAACAACATCGAAGCTGTATTCAAATTAGAGATGGCGTGCAAAATAGAGATAGTTAGAACTGCTACTTGTGAATCACTCGTGATTCGTTCACGCTCGTTCCTAATCACGGTGATTATTCATAGTAATTCATGATTGCTTTTGATTAGTAAGAGAGCGTAGCTATTCTTTGCACACGTCGTCAGAATCGTCAATTTAAATGCAAATACACCCTTAACCTGTATATTCTATATATGGAGAGTTGCTATTCTCTATGATTCCATACAAAGTGACCCATTTAAATCGACCCAATCAAAAATCTTCGAAACTGTTGATGTCACAAAAAAATGGATCAAGGGGCCAGAACAAAGCATTAAATCAGAACAAGTCCCATTATTATAATCCTTTTATTGCCTTAGAAATAGAACCACACCGAGTCAAATCATTTTATTTAGAAACAACAACAGAAATTATAATTATAACACCCCCAGCAACAGGCAACCTGATAATCGTGTACGTCGGAACTTTAAACGTGGTATAACTTAGGATATCTAATAATTATACTTTGAAAAATGAGCGACTATTATCTTCGTTCAATATTACTTATATTAGTTTCTGAAATTTAAATAATTAATAAAGTCAGTTGGGTAAATAACAAATTTTTGAATACAAATAGTTTAAAAGAAAGTCAAAGACATTTATTTTTACAATATTGTTTGTTATAATTACACGCAATGAAAAGTTAAACATTGTTATTATTCTTCAGGCCAAGGTTTTCCTATACCTTGTGATGCACCCATTCTTGATGGATCCTGACTCGGATAATGTATCGGAGTAGTCCCTGGTGGGAAAATTGGTGTTGCAGCAGCAGCAGCCATTTGCGGTGGAAACATAAATTGAGGAGCAACCGGTGGAGGAGGAATCATCATTGGTGGTATCATGCCAGGTGTGGTTTGTAAGTTGAAGAAGTTATTTCCTATGTTTTCTGGTGGTGGTGGTAAAGCACCAGGTAAACCTGGTACTGGTTCCAAAATTTCTCTAGTTGCTTCGGCCGCAGATACGGTTTGTCTTCCTTGCGAACGTCCCCATTTAATAGTCAATCTTCTTCCTCCTAATATCAGTTTATTGAATGTCCTTTCTGCTGCAGCTTCGGCAGCACTTCTCTGAGTGTATTGAATAAAAGCACACTGCTGACGAGGAACCATCGTTACTGAACGTATTTCTCCATACTGATAGAAATGATCGCGTAATTGCTTTTCCGTCAAGACATCTCCTAAATTGCCAATATATAAAGTTGTGATGGATTTATCTTCCGGTGGATCTAATTTGGGCATGGCTGCGGCTCTACGCATTAATTTATCCGCGACAGGATCATTTACTCCATAGTAACGATCCTTGATATTTTGATCAGCCAATGGATCATCAGGATCTGTAGGCTTCTCATGACGATATGGACATTCTTCTCCTCTTTTACATTCTCCTTTAACCCAGAAGGAACAAATGTGTGGTCTGTTTCTTTTGTAATAAGGACTTGTTCTTGCCAGTTTCATTAATAAATCACTGGCTGCTGCTGATTTACCAACAGCACCTGCCGGTGATGTCGGATCTATTTTGCCAATTTCGCTATCTATGTTTTGTACGTAGTATTCTTTGTTTACATCTGATCTGGGCAAATCATCTTTAATTTTAAGAGCCGCATCGCGTACTTGAATCGGCAATCCGTATTCTAAGTCGAGCAAACAAGTTTGGCACACATTTTTTAAACGACTGCAAGTCTGACATACTTCGGTCTTTTTAAAACGCATTCTTGCACCAGGACACCATCTGAATACTGTGAATGGTCGCATACAAATTTTACATTCCTTTCCATATCTTTCCTTTGTCTATGAAAAAACAACAATTTATCATGATAATTGATAAGTAGATTATTTTTTTAATTTAAATACAATTGACTTACCATTCGAATATATGGATTATCACCTAAACAAGTCTGACATAGTATTGGAAATTCCTAAAATGAAACGGAATGCGTTCATAAATATCCTATTTTAATGAATTCAAAGTCGTGTTATGAACTCGATAATACATACAGCATCTTCCCAATTCTGTCTATTATATGTATTTGTTGTTTTCGACGTAGCCATTTTAATCTATTTTATTACATAAAAACCTTACATTCGCGTTACAAATCACAACAAAGCGACACGCCATACACACACCTTCGACGAAGATCGTAAATAGAATCAATCATTAATCAACAACACGGGCGGACATTAATATTTACTATTCAATGACGATAGATGGCAACACAAAACATTGGTAGTTATTTTTGGTCATCGCTTGCTGAACGCGAAATAGAAATTCGGCTTGAGGTAAGCGTTTGATGCATTTAGGAACACGTGCATAAGTTTTGTAGTTGGAAATTCTACCGCGCAGTATAGCGTTAGCAACGAACGATACCGCCAGGAGTGGGAGATGCTTCCATCGGGAAAGAACGGTTAAAGGGAGTCGCGACGCAGAAGGCCGCGGAAGAAGCTCTATGTGTTCGTTGCAAAATGGCCACGTCCGACTCTAAAGCGCCTCTGCGAACGGTGAAAAGGGTCCAATTTGGCATACTTTCTCCCGATGAGATAGTAAGTTCGTTACTTGTAAACGAGTGATCGTGAAAAATGTGATTTTCGACGCGAAACTAATTCATCGCCAGTCGACATTTTGTGAAATCTTATCGCGTGAGAAGGCATTTGATGTTACTTCTAAACAGACGCGCGTGTTGATTTTCAACGTGTACTTTTTGTTTAGAACACCTATACATACGGGAAATAAGATAAAAAATTATAATACACGCAAATAAGAAGTGTTTATCCTGCAATTTTTATCATTCAATGCGAATGTCGTCACCAAATCATCGTGTTTAGTTAAACATTAACGAAGAATAAAAATGATCAGATTCAGTACGAGTCTATGTGTTTTTGTACCATTTTACATATAATTTTTATAATAAATGGCAATATTGTTGGATTAGAATGATAAATAATTTTATGCCCTGTTATTCCTTTTACGATTTAATACCTATGTTACTTCTGATATATTAGGAAAGGAGCAGTTTTAAATTTATATGAAAATTGTTTCCGAGATACATATTTCCTTCATAATTGTATTATTTTCCTAAAATAAAATAACTAGTACTGTATATAATTTTATATGTTTTGTGTAGCGTCGGATGTCAGTCACGGATGGCGGCATTCGCTTTCCAGAAACTATGGAGGGTGGTCGCCCGAAGCTTGGTGGACTTATGGACCCAAGGCAGGGTGTCATCGATAGAAATTCAAGATGTCAGACATGCGCCGGTAACATGACAGAATGTCCAGGGCATTTTGGTCACATAGATTTGGCTAAACCAGTTTTTCATGTTGGTTTTATAACAAAATCAATCAAAATTCTGAGATGCGTATGTTTTTATTGCTCAAAGCTGCTTGTTAGTCCAGTAAGTCACGATTATGAGTATACGCTTGTTGTATGTTTTCATATTTTATTACTAGTCTTGATAATTATGTGTTTATTTACAGCACAATCCAAAAATAAAAGAAATTGTAATGAAAACTAAAGGACAGTCGCGTAAACGTCTCACGTTCGTTTACGATTTATGTAAAAGTAAAAATATTTGCGAGGGTGGAGACGAAATGGATATTAACAAAGAGAATCCAGAGCAACAACCTCCGGATAGAAAACCGGGGCATGGCGGTTGTGGCAGGTATCAACCTAATCTTCGAAGATCGGGTCTGGATGTTACCGCAGAATGGAAACACGTGAACGAAGATTCGCAAGAGAAAAAAATAGCGCTTACCGCTGAAAGAGCATGGGAAATTTTAAAACATATTACGGACGAGGAATCGTTTATTCTTGGTATGGACCCAAAGTTTGCTCGACCGGATTGGATGGTTGTAACGGTGTTACCTGTTCCACCTTTATCGGTTAGACCGGCAGTCATTATGTACGGTTCCGCGAAAAATCAAGACGATTTGACACATAAACTCGCGGATATTATAAAATCGAACAACGAATTGATCAGAAACGAGCAGGCTGGAGCGGCAGCACACGTTATATCCGAGAACATAAAGATGTTGCAATTTCATGTAGCGACGTTGGTCGATAACGATATGCCGGGAATGCCAAGAGCAATGCAAAAGTCAGGTAAACCGTTGAAGGCTATAAAAGCAAGACTGAAGGGAAAAGAAGGCAGAATAAGAGGAAATTTGATGGGTAAACGTGTTGATTTTTCTGCTCGTACTGTCATCACGCCAGACCCGAATTTGCGGATCGATCAAGTAGGTGTACCTAGAAGTATTGCTCAGAATTTAACATTCCCTGAAATTGTGACGCCTTTTAATATCGATAAAATGCAAGAGCTCGTCAGACGAGGGAATTCACAGTACCCGGGTGCCAAGTACATCGTCAGGGATAATGGTGAAAGGATTGATTTAAGATTTCACCCGAAACCATCCGATTTGCATTTACAATGTGGATATAGAGTAGAGCGTCACATCCGTGATGGCGATTTAGTGATTTTCAATCGTCAGCCGACTCTGCACAAAATGAGTATGATGGGACACAGGGTGAAAGTTCTCCCTTGGAGTACATTCCGTATGAATCTTAGTTGTACGTCGCCTTATAACGCCGATTTCGACGGCGACGAAATGAATTTGCACGTTCCGCAATCGATGGAAACGCGCGCAGAAGTGGAAAACATTCACGTAACGCCGCGTCAGATTATCACGCCGCAAGCCAACAAACCCGTTATGGGTATTGTACAGGACACGCTTACCGCTGTGAGAAAAATGACGAAAAGGGACGTGTTTATAGAAAAGGAACAAATGATGAACATTCTGATGTTCTTGCCCAGCTGGGATGGTAAAATGCCTCAACCGTGTATATTGAAACCAAAGCCATTATGGACCGGTAAACAAATTTTCTCACTGATCATACCGGGTAATGTGAACATGATCAGAACCCATAGCACGCATCCGGACGAGGAAGACGATGGTCCGTACAAGTGGATATCACCTGGTGATACCAAAGTAATGGTAGAACACGGAGAACTCGTGATGGGTATACTTTGCAAGAAGACTTTGGGTACATCGGCAGGTTCTTTGCTTCACATTTGTATGTTGGAGTTAGGTCACGAGGTTTGCGGACGGTTTTACGGGAATATTCAGACTGTGATTAATAACTGGTTGCTGCTAGAAGGTCATTCCATCGGTATCGGCGACACTATCGCCGATCCGCAGACTTATTTAGAAATTCAGAAAGCGATCAAAAAAGCCAAAGAGGATGTAATAGAGGTGATACAGAAAGCTCACAATATGGAGCTGGAACCTACGCCCGGTAACACTTTGAGGCAGACTTTCGAGAATCAGGTGAACAGAATCTTGAACGACGCTCGTGACAAGACTGGTGGCTCCGCGAAGAAATCTTTGACCGAATACAACAATCTGAAAGCTATGGTGGTGTCAGGATCGAAGGGATCCAATATTAACATTTCTCAGGTTATTGCTTGCGTGGGTCAGCAAAACGTTGAAGGTAAACGTATTCCGTTCGGGTTCCGTAAAAGAACATTACCGCATTTCATCAAGGACGATTACGGTCCCGAGTCCAGAGGATTCGTCGAGAATTCGTATCTGGCCGGTCTGACTCCATCAGAGTTTTATTTCCACGCTATGGGAGGTCGTGAGGGTCTTATCGATACTGCTGTAAAAACTGCAGAGACTGGATACATTCAGCGTCGTTTGATAAAGGCTATGGAGTCTGTAATGGTGCATTATGACGGAACGGTTAGGAATTCCGTGGGACAGCTGATTCAGTTGCGTTACGGCGAGGACGGTTTATGCGGCGAAACTGTAGAGTTCCAAAACTTACCCACTATCAAGCTGAGCAACAAAGCGTTCGAGAAGAAGTTCAAGTTCGATCCGACGAACGAACGCTACCTTCGTCGCATTTTTAACGAAGAGATTGTCAGAGAAATGATGGGATCCGGCGAAGTGATCTCCGAACTGGAAAGGGAATGGGAACAATTGAACAAGGATCGTGGAGTGCTCAGAGAGATATTCCCAAGCGGAGAATCGAAAGTTGTATTGCCGTGCAATCTGCAACGGATGATTTGGAACGTGCAGAAGATATTCCACATAAATAAAAGGGCACCTACCGATCTTAGTCCAATGAGAGTTATACAAGGTGAATAAAACAACGACTTTGTCAAAAAATGTATTATTAAAAGTGTAAATACTAAAATAGTTGGTTTGCAGGTGTGAAGGATCTCCTAGAGAAATGTATCATCGTGGCTGGTGACGACAGACTCAGTAAACAGGCGAACGAAAACGCCACTCTGTTATTCCAATGCTTAGTTAGATCTACTTTATGTACAAAGTGTGTTTCCGAAGAGTTTAGATTGTCCAGCGAAGCTTTCGAATGGCTTATCGGGGAAATTGAAACAAGATTTCAGCAAGCACAAGTTTGTAGAAATTTATTTAAAATTTGTTTTTTGTTAAATGTAAAATTCTTTTGGGTATTTTTCACATGCTACGTGTAATATATATCTTTAGGTATCGCCTGGCGAGATGGTAGGCGCTTTGGCTGCTCAGTCACTCGGTGAACCTGCCACTCAGATGACATTGAACACTTTCCACTTTGCCGGTGTATCGTCGAAGAACGTAACTCTGGGTGTACCCAGGCTGAAGGAAATTATAAACATCAGTAAGAAACCAAAGGCTCCTTCGTTGACGGTGTTCCTGACAGGAGCTGCGGCGAGGGACGCAGAAAAGGCAAAGAATGTGCTTTGTCGGCTGGAGCACACGACGCTGAGAAAGGTCACGGCAAATACCGCAATTTACTACGATCCAGATCCGCAGAATACCGTAATTGCCGAAGATCAAGAATTCGTTAATGTTTACTACGAGATGCCCGATTTCGATCCGACCAAAATATCGCCGTGGTTGCTCCGTATCGAGTTAGACCGGAAACGAATGACCGACAAAAAGTTAACTATGGAACAAATCGCGGAAAAGATCAATGCCGGTTTTGGGGACGATTTGAATTGCATTTTCAACGACGATAACGCCGAAAAATTAGTGTTACGAATTAGGATAATGAACAGCGACGACAACAAATTCCAAGACACCGTAGAAGAGACTGTAGACAAAATGGAAGACGATATGTTTCTGCGATGTATCGAGGCGAATATGCTGAGCGATATGACGTTACAAGTATGCATTAATCAATTTTACCAGGAATATAACATTTACTGTGTTTACGAATATCGAATCTTTTTATAGGGCATCGAAGCCATTGGAAAAGTGTACATGCATTTACCACAAACTGATTCTAAGAAACGCATCGTTATCACGGAAACCGGTGAATTTAAAGCGATAGCGGAATGGTTACTAGAAACTGATGGAACAAGTTTAATGAAAGTATTGAGCGAAAGAGACGTGGACCCTGTTAGGACGTTCAGTAACGACATTTGTGAAATATTCCAAGTGTTGGGTATAGAGGCTGTGAGAAAATCAGTAGAGAAAGAAATGAACGCTGTATTGCAATTCTATGGTCTTTACGTAAACTACCGTCATCTTGCTCTGCTTTGTGACGTTATGACCGCCAAAGGACACTTGATGGCTATAACTCGTCACGGAATTAACAGACAGGATACTGGCGCTCTTATGAGGTAATTTATTAGAAAGTATGAGAATTTTCGGTTGGTATTGGAATATTCTATATAAATTTATATATTCCACTTCGTTTCAGATGTTCTTTCGAAGAAACGGTGGACGTTTTATTGGACGCAGCATCTCACGCAGAAGTTGATCCTATGAGGGGAGTGTCTGAAAATATTATTATGGGGCAACTTCCACGCATAGGAACAGGTATTGTTTCGATCTTTCAACGTATTTAAATTTAGTAAACGGATCATAAATTTTTATCGAGCCAATATTGTTTATTTAATCTTCTTCAAGGGTGCTTTGATTTATTACTGGACGCCGAGAAATGCAAAGCTGGTATCGAAATACCGATGGCAGTAGGAGCTGGTGTAATGGGTACCGCTGGAATGTTCTTCGGTAGCGTTGCCACACCAAGTATGAGTCCTCAAATGACACCTTGGATGGGTGCTACTCCTGGCTATGGCGCTTCAAGCATGTCACCTGGTACAAACGTCACATTGTTACATTATACTATAATAGGATCATTTATGCCGAATCGTACATAAAAAAAATCTCTTTGGCATAACTCATCGATGACAAATGTACTTGTTTTCACAGCACTGGGTAGCGGTATGACACCAGGAGGTGCATGTTTCTCGCCATCGGGAGCATCGGATGCTTCTGGACTTTCACCCGCGTATTCTGCATATTCACCTCAACCGGGAAGTCCAGGAAGTCCAGGACCCAGCATGAGTCCGTACCCCATGTCGCCAGCGGGCGGTGCTTCGCCCAGCTATTCGCCTACGTCGCCCGCCTACTTACCAACATCGCCGAGTATGACACCATCGAGTCCCAACTACTCGCCTACGAGTCCAACGTACTCGCCCACCAGTCCAAACTATTCGCCAACGAGTCCTTCGTATTCGCCAACATCGCCCAGCTACTCGCCAACCTCGCCGAGCTATTCACCAACGAGTCCTTCGTATTCACCGACGTCGCCAAGTTACTCGCCGACGAGTCCCAGTTACTCGCCAACCTCGCCCAGTTACTCGCCAACCTCGCCCAGCTATTCACCAACGAGTCCTTCGTATTCGCCAACGTCGCCCAGCTATTCGCCAACCTCGCCCAGTTACTCGCCAACCTCGCCTAGCTATTCGCCAACGAGTCCTTCGTATTCACCAACATCACCAAGCTACTCACCGACGAGTCCCAGTTATTCGCCAACGAGCCCAAGCTATTCTCCGAGCTCGCCGAATTACACACCAGCCTCTCCATCGTACTCCCCCACGAGTCCCAGTTATTCGCCTAGTTCGCCACAATATTCGCCCGCTAGTCCCAGTTACTCGCCGAGCAGCCCAAAATATTCTCCGACGAGTCCAAGCTACTCGCCCACGTCGCCATCCTTCGCTGGAACCTCGCCACAGTACACACCAGCCAGTCCAACGTATTCGCCCACGAGCCCGACCTACTCGCCAACGAGTCCATCTTATTCACCGAGTTCACCGCAACACACAGCATCGGGGAGCACGAGATACTCGCCCAGCAGTCCGAATTACTCACCCACTAGTCCGACGTATTCACCGACGAGTCCTCAATACTCACCATCGAGCACCAAGTACTCACCCACGAGTCCAACGTACACACCGACCAGTCCAAGTTATTCACCAACGAGTCCAACGTATTCTCCGCCTGTGCCTGGATACTCGCCGACGAGTCCTACTTACTCGCCGGCGTCGCCAGCCTACGAAACAGACGATTAACAAGTATTACGCATATCTCTATGGATCTTTAATGTTAATCATTTACTATGGGCTAGGTATAAGCGCGATAAGTTGTAATTACTGCTGCTGCGATTCTGAATTTTCTAAGACCGTAAATATATATTTAGTGTATAAATGTATGCACAATTCTTTTAATCGTCACTTATATTGATCATAGGTTGAAAGATATTTCATTTTTTAAGTATCGAGGAAGAGGAACATTTTGTTTTAAGGAACGTTTACAAATACTTTGGACGAGCAGAAGTTGATGGACGATCACGATGGTAAATCTGAATGTACGTTTTATTAGAGCGAATCTGATCAATTTACACGAAATACGTCTGTTGTTTACTAATGCTTGTTAACTTCAAAAAGTTACATATTAATGTTTTCGACCCTACGATTGATTAGATTCCTCTTCAAAACTCATAATAGTAATTACAGTAGTTTTATAAAAGAAAACTAAATTAATATTAAACATTAAATGTTATTCTAGATGATCTATTACTTTTGAAGAGGATTCGAATATAAGGGCCGAGAACGTTAATGTTTACGGTTATTTTCAAAGAATGTTGCAGGAAATATTATTTCGTATTTTCGTTTTAAATAAATTTTACTCGGGACTGCGCCAAGGACGTTCGTAGGTCTTCTTCGGTTGCTCTCATCGTGTCTGGTTAAGCCATTTGCGTTCGATAGAATATCGAGTTACGCTTTGCGTGGTACTCGCCACCGCACACAAAAACCGGTTCAAGTTCCGCGTCGATGTCGAACAGTGTGAATTATTTCTCGTTATGAATCGTGAGAGACTGCCACTGCTGCTTTTCAGAGACGCTAAATCGGATCTGTCGCTTCTGTTCGCCACATTATGCGTTATCGACATATTCGGCGTTTTTCCAATCATCGCGTTGCCGCGTGCGATCGTGCAATGCGGTAAGTTTATCTCCTTTTATTTTCATGTTCTCAAAACAGCTGGCGGCTCGCCGGTACTAAAAAAATTATGAACATTCAGCGAGACAAGTCTATTTTTTTTTTTCTTTTTTTTTTTAAACAAAATGCATTACCATTTCAACGAATAACTTTATTAATCCGTAATTACCGTGCACCTAATTTTTAACGGGTCATAGTGTATGAGAGTTCTGAGGATTTGTTTAAGAAATATGAAATTTCGCTATAAATACTGTTTATTCAAACTAAAGGTATAATATATGAGCATATACACATAACATTTATTTGTCAAGACAACTTGAGCATTGCAAATACCGTACCAGGTCCTTGGAATTCTTGCACAGTACTTACGGGTTAATTATTGTGCACCTTCTTTTGTGATTCACATACTTGTAAACATCAATTTGATGTATTTCGACTATTTTGTAAGCTGTACTATTAATATAGATATATAGTATATACATACACACAGTCGATTGTATGTATGATATAATATTTTTATTTAAATTCAACCGATTTATATAACTGACTTGTATTTACTATTTAGAGATTATGAGAAAGGTTTTATGCAAAGAATGCGCGAGACGTTGTGTGAAAGAATTGATTATTTAAAGGAAATACAATTGGTTAACTTGTTAAAAGACTTCCTTATTTGATACACCTAAGCTGTTATGCGTTATGACCATTAATGCGATCCATATTTACGTAATTGTTGGCCGTTCGCAAATAGGATTTGTTCAAGTGACTCGCAAGTGGATGGTAACAAATGCTCATACTATGTAATTTAGGTTTATACGGGATTCCCCTAGTTCTTGTTGTGCTGGGCTTGCAAGTTTATACGGCCGTTCTCCTTGGAAAATCGTGGATAATCGCGACAACTCTCGATCCGCAAATTTCACGAAAAAATCGGTGAGATTATATTTTTATTTATTTGTATATCAGTTGATTTTATTTTGATCTCTTTTGCAGTCATCCTCTTGCTGCTGTGACTGAATTGACGTTAGGACCACGGGCCAAGACCTTGGTCGCTATAATTCTGGATCTCACCGTTTTTGGTTGCAGTATACCTAATCTACTGGTTGGTACGTTCTCAAATATATAAACTTTTATCATTGAACCAGTTAATTACACTTGTATTGATCATGAATACCTTTAATAAATTTCAGCATCGCAAAATTTACAATTGTTTGGATTGAAAGTGTCAGGACAACGATTTGATCTATCCTTTTGCTATTGGCTTTTGGTTGTGGGTGTAGTTTTGTGCCCAATTATGTGGCTTGGTAGTCCACGCGATATGAAGTAAACCAATAGTTTTCCTAACTTTTGTACAACTTCTATATCTTGACCAAAACTATTTAAATGTTTTTGAGACTCGCTATATATTTCATAATTACTTGCAGATTGTTGGTGTCGTTTTCTTGCACGATGGTTATACTGACAGCAGTACTGATATGGTGGTGTATAATTGTCGATGATCAAGAGTTTGATGCAACACCAGTGCCCACTTCTCCCTCCTGGGACAAATTTATTTCTGGGTAATTGTTATAAAAGTACTGATTCTCTTTACTTCGTTTAATATCAATTATTTTCAGATACGGCATGTTGGCGTTTCAGTTCGATGTGCACCCGACGTTAATGACCGTACAAGTGGATATGCGTCGTTCTCAAGACATTAATAAAGCTGTTGTAATTTCGTTCTTGGGTAACAATGAGACCAAGACACAGTAGAATTCCATCTACCTAACATTTATTTCCTGCTGTAGCATTCATTGCATTAGTAATTTAAATCATTAATTGCAGTAAGCGGTTCGTTGTTCGCCATTACTACTGGTTTGGCTGTTTGGAAGTATGGCGGCAGTACAACGGCTAATGTTCTACAAGTGGTACCAGGAAATTTTATTATGAGCGCGGCTATTCTATTTGCTGCTCTTCAACTCTGCCTGTCTAGCGCTATAGGTCATTCCGCTCTTTTTCAAGATTTAGAGGATCAATGGAATATCCAGAGATGTAAAAAACTTTAAAGACAGTAAATTATAATATAGCTATGCGTTAATGTCAAAGATAAGCTGTATTACAAACATTTTTGTAACAGCTTTCGGGTGGAAAAGATGTGCGATACGGTCAGCCGTCGTTTTCCTTGGGGTGGCTGTAGGAGAATCTGTACCAAGATTCGACATCGTAATGGCTTTAATTGGAGGATCTTTGACGGGGCCGTTGGTCTTTGTGCTTCCACCACTGATGTATTCGAAAGCTGTTGCTCTAAAAGCGAGATCTATGCGGACATTAACCCCTGAAGTGTATTCAGCCACTGAGAGACGCCGGAGTATCGGAGAAGATATAACAGACGATCCAAGAATTCATTCTAGATCGGTTTATTACGGCGTTCTAAGTATGCCTGAAATCGAATACGATCGATACTCGTACGTTTATTATGACGATCTTGAGGAGTTCGACGAGGTTGCGGGTTATGAAAATGACTCCCGGAACAGAGGAGAGATCAACGAAGAATATTCAATGACGAGACAAAATCACAATAGTGAACCGATGATATTCGTAGATGCCAGTCGACCCTTTAAAACCTACAGAAGAATTGCAATTTCCGAGGAACCAGCCTCGAAGGAAGTTGTAAATTGCACTTTTCGAAAATGGCACAATTGGTTCGGTTACTTGATCGTATTGTTCGGTATTGTCGTCACCATTTCTTCAACGTATATTAACATTAAAAATACGGTACGTTATGTACAATTCACGCCTCCGTGCATTGTAAACGCTACCGTTGTACAAAATCCTACATAGATAAGATCACTTCACAGTGATAAAAATAAGATAATTAAGATACTTACACATGATTTTCTGCATGATTATTATAAGTATAATCAATACGTGCACGAGAGACTTTTTTTACTATTGTATACATAAATGTTTTATTAATTAAATCTGTGTGAACAACTTTGTGTAACAGTAAGTTTCTTTCTAAATGTAATTTGAAATTTTTGATGCGGGCTTCAAACTTTCAGATATGCCCACTAGATAGCAGCAAGGTACTGATAAAAATTCGCACTGATAAACATATGAACTTTCAAATTCTTATCTATACAAAATTCATATCGTTGATAAATTTACTTATTCTGAAATTTCATGTTCTTTATATCTATACATTCATGTTTCGTTCCATAAAATTTAGAAGAATATATAAAGTCGTTTCATAACTCCCACGTGTTTCAGTGTTAAAATCAGCTGATTCGATGAACTATTCTTAATCACGAAGGTTACCTTGAAAAGGTATCTCTGTGTGTATGTGTGTATGGCATATATGTACATATGTATTTCCTGTTGGTACAGCGAAATTGTCATGCTACATGAAGACAAGTTTCTAAATTAAACCATTACTTATCGAATCAATTTTATTTAAGTTGCTCGGTAATGTTAATACCTAAATACTAATATCATGACAAATAAACTTATTAATGTAGATAAAAATTATTTTATATTTCGATATCATACTTGGAAAATTATAATTTATCTCGAGTACACGCGTATCAATTATAAGTTTATTTCTGTATAATATAATCGTTGTGAACGACTCATTACGTCACACAGTTCAACATTTCTTTTAATGTTTCTAGTGGAGGGGATACATCGAACTTGTGACGTTTAAGAACCAGATCTTACGATACTGTCCGCGCCAAACGAATGAGCTGTCCTCGTCGGAACCATTTTGTGTGTTAACTTTGATTCCCTATTCTTCCGTTCGTTCGGTCTCGATCGTGGTAAAAGAAGAGACATTTTTTAAAAATGATACCAAATTGTATCAGAAACATAGGCGCGCAAACGTCAAAACGAAACGTAAGTACATAATCCAACGAACGACAAATGACCTCTAGCTAGTTACTTGCCCACACGTTCCATGCCAGGGGTCTTGTTATAATTTCTAATCATACGATCTTTGGTCGGGTCTTGCAATTGATTGCTTGATCTTTGTTTTTTTTATATCTCCTGGTGTCTCGCCAGTTCGGGAGCTGGAATGAGGTAATTATTCGCAAAGATTTACCGATGTGTTTGTTATTACCAATATTCTCATACTTCGCGAGACGCACCTTGTTGAACTTTTCTTGCTTCTCTCTTTCATTTTCTACCTTAAATTGTTTTTCACGAGTTCGTCCTTCTTCGAACAAGCGTAATTAGATTAGAAGCATTAAAACGCGTCGTTAAAGTTTCACGCGATTCCACAAACATATTATTTTAAAAAAATGAATTTGGATTATCTTTATGTTGCATCCTTTTTTTGTTTTACATGAATTTTCTTTGCACATATTTGCGAATTATAAAAGTGTGATATACTACAGTGCGTACGGTTGAATATAGATGACTGGAAGTTCTATATGTTTGTAGGTGGTGTCTTATTTCTTTAACAAGAAAAATAATTATGCCACGGAAGCTACGTATGAAATCAAACCTTTCCGGTTACACAAATTGGATAGCGGGCCATCCAATCGTGTTAATGTTACTAGGGATGAAGCTTTAGATCTTTATAAAAACTTACACACGATCCGTCGTATGGAAACAGCAGCTGGAAACCTCTACAAGGAAAAGATTGTCAGAGGTTTTTGCCATTTATATTCTGGCCAAGTAAGTATCATTTTATCAGTTTCAAAACTTTTGTTCAATGAACATTTCTACCAGTATATGTTTTTGTGTTTATGGTAGGAAGCATGCGCGGTTGGTATAAAAGCAGCTCTTAGGCCACAAGATTCTGTAATCACTGCCTATCGGGCTCACGGTTGGACTTATTTAATGGGCATAGAACCGATTGGTGTTTTATCAGAATTAACTGGTAGAAAAGGAGGTAATGCAAAGGGTAAAGGTGGTTCCATGCACATGTATGCTAAAAACTTCTATGGTGGAAATGGGATTGTTGGTGCTCAAGTGAGTATTAATTATTAGAACCGTTAGATTGTCTACCATTGTAGCATTACTAAAACCATTAATTTGTAGGTACCGTTAGGAGTTGGAATTGCCCTTGCTCAAAAATACATGAACACCGGAGGTGTATGCTTTGCTCTGTACGGAGATGGTGCAGCTAATCAAGGACAATTATTTGAAGTGTATAATATGGCAAAGTTATGGGACGTTCCTTGTATCTTTGTCTGCGAAAACAATGGATACGGTATGGGTACCAGCGTGGAACGTTCTTCCGCTAGTACAGAATATTACACAAGAGGAGACTATGTCCCTGGAATTTGGGTTTGTTCTTAAAGAGAATAATTACAAATATATTGTACTATAATCGTGCAAATTACTTTTATTAATCGGATGAATTATGTAGGTGGATGGTATGGATGTACTGGCAGTTAGGGAAGCTACGAGATTTGCTATAGACTATTGCACATCTGGTAAAGGTCCGCTTGTTATGGAAACTGAAACGTATAGATACAGTGGTCACAGTATGTCAGATCCTGGAACCAGTTACCGTACAAGAGAAGAGATACAAGAAGTGAGGCAGACTCGAGATCCTATCACTGGTTTCAAAGAACGAATCCTGAATTCTAATCTTGTCACGCAAGAAGAAATGAAAGTAAGTTTCATCAATGTTTTGTACATCTCCCGTTGAATTAACTTTTACTGCATTTAATACTCGTGGGGTCCTTTTCAGGCATTAGAGAACAAAATAAGAAAAATGGTAGATGATGCTGTGAAAGCTGCAAAGGCGGACAGTGAAATTCCACTAAACGAACTTACCGCTGACATTTATGCTAATAATTTAGAAAAAGAAATTCGTAATATAACGCCATTCAAACCTCTGTCGCACACGAGGTTAGGCCCAGCTATTAATGCTTAAACAAATTTCACGAAAAGAGAACTCCAAACGAATTAAAACATGTCAATCTCGTATATGATAATGATACCTATCCCTGGTAAAGCTCATAGTTTGTACAGAAGACCTAGGGGATATTCTCCTGAATTTAGGTAAAGAATAACAAATTCTTGGATAACGGTTGCGTTTACCACTTACGGTTCAGTTGTATGTATACATAGTATATATTTATTTAATTTATAGATAAATAGTACTGTAAGTGATCAATTCAGTGTCTTAGACCGATTAATAAATAATCCACTGCCAACGTATAGCCGGTGATCTTTCATGTAAATAATACACTTGCAATTGTGGATCAAAACAGTAAATGTATAAAGTCATTTAGAAAGGCAATACACGTATGTACGTTATGGGTTTTCTTATTTTCGTTACAAATTACACCATCGTTGCTCGTTATTTTGTGTTAACAAATGAATCTGAAATGAACTACTGTAAAGTACTTGTAAAGTAATACAACATGTAATTGAAATCGAAGTTTTCGTTTGAAATTAAATAAAAATACATTGTTTATAACTCGCTGAAGAGGGTATAGCCGAATAAGGGGGTGAAATGTGCCCTTGAACCAAATTTGACATACGATGGATCCATCGATAGAGGATCAGAAAAAAACATTCTGTGCCAGAATTTGGAATCTAAAAAACTTCTCAAACACGTATCTCAATAATCATAATGCATCAAATTTTTATCGTAATTTTCGTACTCTATTAAATAGGGGAAACAGGCACAAATTCGCTAATCCGAATTTTCCCAATAACTACCCTTCCGAACAAGATACAGGGTTGAAATTTGGCACAGAATGTTTTTTTCTGATGCTCTATCGTATGTAAAATTTGGTTCAAGGGTACATTTGACCCTTTTACTCAGCTATACCCTTTATTTGTAGCTCGACGTAACGATTCGTAATTTGATTTTAGAACACGCTTCGCAGTTGCGAATGCATTTACGAACACACCGAGAGAGTCCATTTTTCTATCCTTGTCCCAATCGAGTTCGGTGCGAATTGTGTAAACATCTCGCCCGTGTAGAATCACGAGCTACGAACGCAAATAGTTTATCAAACGTACCTAGTTCATTCACGAAAACCGAACCGTAGAAGTTAGGCAAAACGAGCAATGGCGGCCGCAGGAAGCGCAAACGTTTGCACAATTTTGCAAAAGCTTGGCCTTAAACCGATTACAAAGTCTAGCATCCAGAAATTTTACGTCCCGGCTTTCGGTGTTGCTTCGTACAGCGCATTGTCGGTCAATGTGATGAATCCAAATCTTGTCATCAGGTAAGACAGCAAACAATCTACTTTGTTCTTATACATTAACCTATAATGTTAAGCATGATCAGTTATCTCGTCCACAGAATGTTACGTAATCTTTGGGCAGTACGTTCCAGTGATACATTTTTTCGGAATAATTTTGTAATTTTCATCAAAATGACGACCGTTGCCATTTTGAACAAACATAATTACATAAAATATAAATATCGTGATCGGTTTTTTTTAGATTTTTTCACCTATTTACGTGCATCTCGTGACAATACGATTTTGCATTCTATGAAACGATTATTAATTCGCAAAAACACGCTACAGCTATGCCATTGAAGATTTTGATGATATCAGATGGATGAATCTAAACATTGACTAATGATGTTAATCATAGTTATCTTTTTTATAAACAATTAAAATTTGAACTCTGTTTGGAAGCATCGAGTTCTTGAATAACCTTAACCATACTTTTTTTTAACTTTCATTTTAAATTATTAAATTTCATACGCTTGTTAAATAATACACTGCAAGTTATATATTTGATACAATGTTCTTTACTATACATATTTCTTATTTTAGTATATAACCTTATGCATCGCATGCCTGAGAATTTAATTCATTCGTTAATTGTTTAGCAAAGAGAATAGTTGTTTTCAATTATTTTAATTTACATCATAGTATTGTTACTTCTGTATATTTGTAGGGTATTTCCAAAGAAAGACATCACTAACATTTTACTGAGTAGTGCTCTAATTGGTATCAGCACATACATATATTCCCGTGAACATATGAATAAGGCTCCTACGAGTGTACGAATTGCATATAGGTAAGATATATTATCTCGATACTCTGAACGAATCAGATACTTTAAATCTTACCAATACATTTATACATTATTCTATTTTTCATAGCGTTGCTGGTGCTGTATTGCTGAGTTTTGGATCGGTTTTAGTATGGGCAGTATTACGGTCTGTTGTACCACCTAATCCTACAGTGTGTACAATAACTGGTATTGGTTCTGGTCTTGCATTCATCAAAGTTGGATCTAGTTATCTGAACTTTGTCGATGAACAAGTACAAAAGAAGTAGATTTGATTCTCATTATTAACATACCATCAATGTGTATTAAATGCATCTATACAAAAATTTGCAATAATGTAATGAAATAGTGGATTGAACCAAGAGTAAGAGAAAAAAATGAAAAAAAAAAAATGTAACGTTAAGCAAAGAATTTTTAAATGTCTACAAATTTCTACATTTTGTATAGTCTTTGCTTCGTAAATGGCAGAAGATTATGGGTCAAAATGTGTTCAATATAATCTTTAACTACTTTGTTTTTGTTCTTGATTCGTTATTGGCAAGATCTGATAGGTACTTCGTAGGCGCAAAAATATTATTAGAATTTACATGGAATGTCTAAATAATGAAAAGTGATTTCTGTTATTGCAAAATATACCTCACATTATATATTAGCACTGCCGTACACGCATACGGAGTTGTGACTTATGTATCCAGTGACCAAAACTATGGGAAAAGAACAAAGCTGGATTTTTGAATTTGAAGTGGCTTTATAATATTTATGCATTTTATAAGGTGTACAATATGCCTATCCAAATAATTGAATAGCAGTAGTAATTGTGCTGTGTATGTGCACATTTGTTTGCAATTGTATTAAATATTGCGAAACAGAACAAATTAAACGATTTTGTTGCAAACGAAGAATTACGTATTATAATTATTTTCGTATAATCGTAACTGTAACAGATTTATATTTATTGCTGTGCGTTTGCACGGTTCGTTGATAAGAAAGTTGTTCGGAATTAATTTAAATTTAATTAATGTGCGATCTTACAAATGCATAGAAAAGTGCATTCACCAAAACTGAATAATATTGTATCACTTGTATAATAAACTCTGTTATTAAACACAAACTGATGTATTTATCAGTATGTTCGCATACTACTAAGAATGAGGAAAAGCATCATTGTTTTCTTATCAAAGTTTTACAATTTATTATTAAGTTTTGCAGTAGACAAAATAGAGTTGTACAATAGCGTATGAAGATATTATTTGCTGAAGGATAAATTGTACATAGAAACCAGTCATACCCTACATTCGAATAATAGTACTCGCACAATACTGTGTTTAAGATGATAATAAATAATAAAAGTGTGATAATAAGCATTCGAAATATGTAACAGTTTCTATGATCAGATAACTCAAGTTTTGTGCAGTTTTAGTTACAAACTAAATAGTTATTCTACGGGAAATGATAATGAACCTATGTACGATGTGTATTTAGCTCTGAGAAGCTCCTGATCTTAGTTGATTATGTATCATACACAATATCAAAGATTAAATTAGATGAAGAACATATAAATATTGACAGGTACAAAGTAGATACCTTGGTTGATCTTAAAACAAAAATCCTACCTCAACAATTACAATAATTTAATGACGTTTAATGTGTGTGTGTGTGTGTGTGTTTTTTTTTATTTATCGTTTCGTTTGTTACTAAAACATATTTAAACATAACGATGTACCTGTCACGTTAACGCGATTTGTATACGAATAAAAAGATAAACGCGGTACGAACGGAATTGCAAACAGTAGTAGAATGTAGTTTCTCATGTTTTGATCCGACTTCCATTGTCTTCGTATTAATGATACTGTATTATCATTCCTGACGACACGCGACGTATCTTAGCTCGGTAGGAAAACGGTATGGAAGTTGCAAACATCTAATTTCATTAAAACATTACCGACAGTGTTATCATTCTCGAAATTATGCTATTCACAGTTTAACATTGTATTTTGATACTCGATCTTTTCTAACGCGAAAGAATCGACATCCGATAATTGCAAAATATACAAATTCATTTCGTTACGATACCATGCAATATGCACATTATACATATACATATATGCACGTATTTAAATATACAAACAATTAAGATTTTCCTAATTACAGTATAAAAGGTAGCAATCGATATGGATATACCATACAGTCTATATTACATAAAAAAATAGAATAAGTAACGCGATCGCACGATGTTCTCGTGAATCGTATCACATGTATTTACCGCTTTAAAGATATTGGCAACAGTTTCTCCCTTCGCGTGATCATTTTACACGCGTTTCTATAGTGTTTCGTAAATGTCCACGTTGAATTACGTTAAATGGAACACTTATACGATACACACAAGAGCGAGAATATACATATTATTCTGTAAGAATGTGTGCATATACACGAAAATTTCGAGTAAATATTCGAGACGTTATTCTAGTCCAAGTCGAATACCGAAGTCGAAAGTTTCGTTCCACAAACGCGTGACCGCGGTACTAGGTCGTGTAAGAAAAAAAAACATGTATCACGATTCTATTATCGAAGATAATAGCGTACAAGATACACAGGGTTGCCCAATCGATGTTCCGTGGCGAGACTTTCGATATTTTTACCTAATTTCGAGTAGAGACGTCGACTCAAAATTTTCAAGTATACATATATTCATTATTTGCTTTCTCCCGCCTCGAATAAATTCATAATACTGTCCTTCTTCTTTAATAGAGACTTTTCGCCATCACGTTCGACCGAATGGTTGCCCAAGAAACTATCGGTGTGTATTCTAAGTAGCACGATTGGTTCCCGAAAGTAAGTACCGATCGGGAGAATTCGTATCCCACGAAGGAACTATCGGTGACTCGGTCAAGGGATCCACCCTCGCGCGAGCAAATTTTAGCTGCGATCCGTACGCGATATCGTCGTTTCGTTACCGTCCCTCGATGGAACACCCTTCATCGAGGCGGATAAAAGGTTGCTAAACGCCTCCGCGATGTTTTCCGTCACTCTCCCGATCGTGTCCGTGAGTAATCGTTCGCTGGATGTGTTGGAATGTTTGTGCTCGTGGGAATCCAACTCGTGATCGTCATCGTCATCGTGGTGATGTTCATCCTCTTGTCCATGCACGTGTGAATGGCTGCCGTGCGAATGCGAATGCGAATGAGAATGAGCAGCTGCAAACAAAAAATGTATTTTCAAATAAGTGCGTTAATACATACATATTGCGTTTCTATGTCAACATTTTGTTAACATATTCGTCTAGTAATTTATTCATCGATAAGTTAGAAAGTAGTTCAAAAAAAATCCACGGTTGGTAAATTGTTAAAATATAGATGGTAATGTCGCGGCTATAACAGCGTCCGATTAATTTATTGACCGGCCGTATAGGGGGCGCAGCTCGCAAGGGTCATCGATTTGAAAGGTAATTTTTCATGAATCTTTTTCAAGAATAACAATTACATGTACATCGAAATACGATAGATGGCCGAGAATGCGGTCGAAAGTCGGTCGGGATTGTTCATCGACCTACGTCGGGGGTCATTGCCATGGATGGAGAAAGCCCATGGATAACCTGTTCTTCGAGTACGTGCATATTATTTTTTCAAGACGAAATCTTGGTGAGTCTGCGTTAGAGTAATTACGATTACCTCCAAGAAATCGAGATTTTAGAAGAAACGAACGTGACAGCTACATGATTGTAAGATAATGTAATTGCGTGTGTCATTAGCGATTTTCATCAGTGGGACGAACGAAGAGGTTAACGACCGGCAACGTAAACAAACCGAACGGGTTGCACGTAGGTTAGTAATTTCGTAATTGCGTTTGTTTTTCCCTGAATTGTATATCGCAACGTTTACACCGTGAAATCAAATTGCGTAACGGGTGACACTTCCGCAAAGGTATCCGTTACGACCAAGTGTTTCTAGGTCTCCCAAGCCTAGACCTCTCGAGTAACTCGTCTACTATTATTAAGGTGGGCTGGAATCGCGTTCCAACAGACCGTTAAATATGCATTCGATCGTGGACGATAAAGAACCTGCGCACGGTCGATAGATAAAAATCTGTGACTCTGGAATTGAATTCGTGGCGTGAAAACAACGCGGCGATTCGCAGTCGGTAATCGTAACGTCTGAAATATCTCGAGTAACGATATCACGTACTTTTCGTGAATTAATAGGTTAATAGGTACATCCGAGTTTTATTGTCGCTGCTCGTCGCGACGATTCCTGCACGATACGACGATGCCACGAAGCAGAAGTTCAGCGCGTGTATAGCGGAGATACCAGAGCAGTCATTAGCCTAATTGCAATTGAGCTGTCGTGCTCTGGAGTGTCGTAGCGCGACGCGAAAAGGAAAAAGAAACAAAAGAGGAAATCAAAGCGAGACAGAGGTTGGTGAGAGGAGGAGGAGGAGCGAGGGAAAGTTAATCTGTAAATTCGCGTAATCAGACGCGTAGACGGGTTAGAGGCGTCTCTTTAAGGGGAACGGGCACGCAAACTGTCTGTACTATTCTGCATAAACGTTCGCGTACCCACACGAGAAACGGTCACTGACCAACAGACGGATCGTGTTTCCGTTCCCGAACAGCTTCACAAAAATGTGGGTCGGTATCGTCGATTTATTTTAGTCTCCCTGATAAGATCCCCTTATGTGACAATGCATCGCGCGATGAAAGTTAATCTTTGTATGCTTGCAGGAAACGATAAGAGATTTAATTGTCCGTTTACCAGATAACGATCGAGTGGAACGGATCTACCTAGATAGACGAAACCTTGTCTTTTTACCGATAAAACTTGAAACCGTCTGGCTCTGCCATTTGACTGACATTGTTGGATTGGGTCCGAGGGAACCCAGCCTGAGTCACGCGAGGGTTGAAAAAAGCTGACTGAAAATTAATAGTTGGCTGAGAAATATCGATGCACGTCGACGGCCAACGTAACTCGATTTCTTCGCGGTCCTCGTGGCCGTGACTTTTTGGACGTTGCTGTTCGGCCTTTCGGTAAATCGATAGCTAGACGTCGTTTCCACGAGTACGAGTAACACGTGGGAGGTGATCGTATCAAGGACGTACCTGCGATAGGTTTGCACCGACGTTGACGGGTCGCGAGAGAAGAAAAAAACGAAAACTCTGCCAACAAGTTCGTTAATCGTATCCCGATCACGTCACGAGAAATGAATTCCGCGTCAGGAGCCGGTGAAAGGTTTCGAAGAAAACCAGTTTTCGAGGCTCGTAATGGGAGATTATTTAAAAAAATTTAGACCAATCTATTTACGTTTCGTTTCTGGCTCTGAACCGTTTTATAATTTTTTAGACGTTTACCCTACGAAGCTGTTATGCTCGATGATCGATAATCCTGGGAAACACACTCACTGGCGATTTGCAGGCCCAACATCAGCATGAAACCGATGATTATGGCGGACAGTTGCAGGAGCCCGCTCTTCTCGTTGGCTCTCTCGCGTGCCAGAACTTCGAAGAAGACTACGTAGAGCAACGTGCCGGCAGCCATTCCTTGAAGTATCGTCGGTGTCGGTCCCAGGTTCTCGCTGTCGTTCTTGAAGTGGCCCAGAGCCAAACCGACGGCGATGCCTATAGGCGTCACCATCGAGAATATCGTCAGGTATCCTAAGGTGGTTCTGGTGGAGGCACCAGCCACGTACAACTCCATACCGACGCAAAACGAGATGACCAGCTTGTGCGTGGCTATAGCCGCGGCCAGGTAGACCACCGAGCCGATAGAGGGCTCCAGCCCGACGGCCAGTCCCTCGAAGATGGCATGGAACGATAGCGCCAGAACGGTCAATAGCCCTTGGACGGACGTGTTCTTCGTTATCGCGGTATGTTTGTGCTCGCCGTGCTTCGTCCTCGGGTAGTTGTTCGATTCCGCGTCGTTCCGACGACGATCGGCCGCGAGGGCCGTCGGCGACGACAGAATAAATATCGCTGGCAGCGTCTTATCGTGTTTGCCGTCCCGATGATCCTCCAAACGATGGCCGGATCGTTTGTTGGACTCCGTGTCGTCCAGCGACTCGTCGTTGTCCTCCCGCCACGTGGACTTTGTGGTGGTGGACACCGTGGTGGTCGAGCCGGTCGACGTGGTCGCCGACGCGCCCGTCTGACTGTTGCATCTGCGCACAGACACCGTTCTGTAGAGCAACGCCTCGGAGGACTCGGGTTTGCCCGTCAGCGCCGCGTGCACCGCCTCCTCGACGAGGTAGACGAGGAAGAAACCGCCGCAGAAGAGCAACTCGGAGAGACTCAGCGTGCCAAGCGTCGGAAGCTGACCGTTCGTCTGGTGTCTTTCCACGCTGGCGCGAACTTCCGGCGCCAGGTGCAGGAACGTGGTGAACAGGAGGACGCCCCCGCCGAAGCACAGCAACAACGACGTATGAAGACCCTAGGGATAACAAGTTATCCTCCGTTTTTCTTTTACGATCTTTCGTCGATCTCCGATCTGGTTACTCTTCTTTTTCAAATCTCGTTCGGTTGCAACGTTAAGAGAACGTTTAGGTCGTTTTTAGTATTATTTAGAAATTAACGCCACGAATAGGTGCACCGAATGTTGGACGAGACGTATAAACCCTCAACAGATACGGTTAAATCTTAGTTATTCATACGTATAAGTCAGTTTGACGGTAATTATAGAGTACTAGGCTTCGTGAGACTCGGTGTATGAAATTATCTAAACTACTACACTGTTCGTGGGTCTTCCATTGAAACGTTTTCAACGTAGATAAATGTAAAAATCAACGTAAATGAATGTTGATAGGAAACGATTTAAAGTAATACTATGTATCACGGTACTGTCTCGCTTCTTGCTCCAACCTGCGTTATGGATTTTAGCGACGGAATCGCCTCCGCCATTGTTTACGTTTCTTAAACTTCAGCGATTGTCGGTACAAGCGATTCGCAGCTGTGCAATTAAAAGCCGGAGTCGGGTGAAATTTTTTAGCCAGATGAATATTCCAAAATAAAGAATAAATCTTACAAGTCATGATTAAATATTTCACAACTAACAGACAATAATTTCGCTCTTCGATCGAATAAACGTCACGTATAAATTGCTAGATGTCGGTCATATCGGTTATCTGGTATTTCAGTGGTGCTCAACCTTTCGAAAACACGCCCCAAATTTCGTGTTTATACAGTTAATATTACGTAAATATATTGGTTATATTTTCAAACAGTTACAATCGTTTCGCGAACGTGGCAAAATTTTAATCGTTGTATACTGTTTAAACGATGATCGTCGATGAAACAAAGCGCGCGAATACAACACTGTTCGATGGTTACGAAACAAAGGAACACAATAGAATAAGGACGATGGTACATAACATCGATTGGACAGGAACATAAAGTCACACATATCGTACAATTAGAAAACTTTCGAGGACGGGACGTTCACGGTTTATTTTGTCACGCTATTTATTTCTGCGCTTAAAATTTGATCAAAATCAAATGACAGTTCCGATTCGATCGCAAGAAGAGAGGCAGTACCGTCCAAGTTAGAGCTTTCGAGCGAAAAGAACTTTGTAACGTTTCGATTGACCGTATTGGTTGAGGATTATCTCGAACATTTTCTAATTAATAGCATCGTGAATGCGTAACGTACTTGCGAATCCGTTGTCGACGACGCGGAGTTGACGCTCGACGAGAACGCGTTCGAAACAGAAGTCGACGTGCAAGTGCTGGAATTGCTCGAAATCCCGCGGTGTCGTTTTTGACGATGATTCATCCTGTACCTTCCAACTATCAAAGGCAGCATGCCAAGGATCAACGATCCAAATCCCAGACCCACCATCGCCCCTATCTTCGCCACAAGTAGAATCGTGGACGTTGTTGTCTCCTCCATCCTTTGTCACGAGACAATAATTGCTCAAAGATATTCCAAGATATCGAACGGAATGAGCCTTTCGATCTTTCGGGCTCCTCAGTCTCGATGCTCGTACGTCATCGTTTCGAACCTAATCCCTAGGTTGGCACGGCCAGCGTGTTCAAATCGTTCCGTTAATTTGTTCGTTGCATCCTTTGCCTAAGCGTCTTCGTCCGATCGGCATGTCGGCCTTCAAACTCCGACTCGCAGGTGTTCCACACTCCACTTTTCTGTTTATTCAAACGACTAACTGCGCGGCCACTTTTTCACTTGACGCGTACGACGATTTTGAAACGGAAAGATACCTAAGGTACCTTTCGCTCGAGCTCACGAGGCTCATTAATGCCCGTTATTGTACAGTTATGCGAATCGTTAAGACGCTCCTGGCGCGATTTACACACTCGAGGAACCTAGAACGAGGAACCACGATCTCAGACTCTGTAAATATCTTGTATAGTGCTTCGATCGAGAAGGTACGGAACGTTCAAACTATCGTGTGTAGATGTGGGTTCTATTTCGATCACAGGCGCAGTTGTAATATTATTAATTTCTATTATCAGTAAAGTAATACTCGGTGAAATTATCGCGCGAAATTGCGGAAGCCGGATACTGTGCAAGGCGACGTTATCGTTCGACGACATCGCGAACACACCGAGGCGATAAATTTCCGCGACTGGCGACCACACACGTGCTACAACGTTTCACTTTTCCCTTTCGAAAGTGTAAATGCCGCACGAGTGACGCGTCACTAACGCTGAAAGCTTTTGCGAGACGAGGACCAAAATTAATCTACTCTTCTACGATGGTAGATCGAAACATTAGGCCAACTTATTCGATAATTGTATTGAAAGTCTAAAAAATCTCACGACCTCGAGTATATATCCAATGATTTATATTCATAGCACGAATTATGTAACTTCAACTACTTATCTCTTAAATTATCAAGTAATGTCACTTAGTATATTGCAGGTAACGACAGAGATATGCAATCTACCGTTTCATAGAGGTAAATTAATATGTTGCTGCGGGTAATGCGATTCAATCCTTCTCCAAATAATTATCGAGATCATTTACTCGCGCAGAGATTAGAAACGACTCGGAGGTGCTGCGGGTGTTTCGATCCTCACGAAATGATTAGGTTTCAACAACAATCATCCTCTTTGCAATATTGTATACTCCCCACGAAGGTCTTGATTGATCTATGAATGACTCGGGCCCACTATAGCTGTTCCACTCGTTACGAAACGACTTGGTTCGATGGACGATAACACTCTACGAAATAAACCGCGTTTGGCAAGACGATCTCGATCGAGGACTCTTTGAATAAATTTTCCAGCAATTTACGAGAAAAACTAGGCAAGGAATGGTGGGATCTATGTTTCCACGAGTTACGAAATGACTCCGTGTGATCAACGCTGATGTTTCTCACGATAGAATCATTTGGCGCAACAATCTCTATATTGGAAACTGTTTAAAAATGTTCCAAACAAGTCTATATTCTTTGATCATTTGACTCGAGATTGATAATAAATTTAGAATACAAAACACAATATTATCTATCATAGATTGGAGTGGTTTTAGAACTCGAAGCCAAAGATTATGCACTTGTCTCCAAGATTGATGTTGCCTATTGTATTTAGAAACATTCGAAAGCTTTCTCTAGGTGCTCTAACACGTCCGTTATGTTCTTTTTCAGAAAACTGCAAAGAAGATTTGAAAGAACACTTGGAAGGACTCTGATGGATCACCGATGGTAAATCACACAGACCACACTTCCTACTATGGCGTTATTTATCCGTTGATCCGGAACTCCCATAGAAGATTCACAGTAATACCGAGGAAGACTCGAAAGATCTATCACCGGTTCCATCGATCCACCCACACGATGTTACGAAACAACAGCGTTCGATTAATACCGATCCTTTTCACAACAGACCACGCTTCCCACGTAAATCTCTATCGAGTTCCCTTTTCGAAAATGTCACGATAGATCAGAAGGGAGCACGTTGAAAGATTACGAAACGATTCCATCTGGTAAACAATGATACTAATTTATGTATCAATTTCTTTTTTAGAAAATTCCAAAGAAGATCCGGAAGTTGTGCTCCATCGCGACGGACCACGTTTTCTGCAACGATCTCGAAGGATTTGGACTTGGAACGCTTCCCGCGTAAATCATTTCATTCAGGCAAGAGTCCACGTAAACGGTTCCACGCGTTACGATAGATTTCCGTACAGTTTACATTGATTCTTCTCGCGACAGACCATTACTCTGCTTCTCATTACGATCTTTGTTAGGATGTTGAAGCACTATAAAAGATCCTGAACACTGAGAGCACCCGGTCCAAGTACCTACACAGCTCGGTTCGACGAGCACCGATCCTGGCCGCGACGGATCCCACTTTCCGCGTCGTTCTCGATCGGTTTCTCTTTCCGCGAAGCGGAAAAGAGAACTGGAGGGAACTCTCGCGACAACTCTGTCGAAGTAACGATAGTTCCACGCGGTACGACGGTGAATCGGGTACTCCGGGGCTGGTCGGGGACTCGACTCAATCCCCTCGCGTCTTACATAGTCCAAGCCGAATCGTTTCCTGCTCTCTACCCCTTCCATGCTCTGTGCTTCCCTACCAACACGCGAGAACCATCTCTCTCCTTCCCCGAGCGTTGATTCACGCTGGTGTTCGTCTCGTACATAGAGGCCAACACGAGCCGTTTCCAGGTACCTATGTACATACAGTGCCCTCGCACTATACACTCGCGCAGGAAAATATTCCAACACCAATATTCATAACATTCGATCAATTAAATATAATACACGACTCTCGAGACTACAGAAACGAAATTAGAAAATAATTCAACGATATGTACCATTTTTATAACACATATGTGTATCGTAAACACGTGTCGGATGCGACACGCGACGGTATTTAAACGGAATATTTAATAGTTGTTTGAACTTTTCGTAGGAAGTTGCAGTTCATCGGGGGTCCAAAAGACACACACCGATACTGAAAACAAATAATGATTCCCGAGCAGCAGCGGCTCGGTGGGATTGGATTCCAGGTGTCGATCGATTATCTTGATTGATAAATCGCTCGTGATGGCGACTGCAGTTTCAAAGGATCGAAGTAACCGAACTCGTATTCGAAAACACATGTACGTACGTGAAATACGTATAGAGGCGCGAGTGGGAGTATATCCGTATATCTAGGAATCCGCGCAACTCGAGGACATACCGTACTATCGATCAGTTGTCTAGTTTTAAGACTGTCCTTTCATTATAAACACCGACAGAAATTTCCAAGCATCGTCAGAAGCAGCTGTATCACCCTGTATATTTATATGTACACACCGAATCGTCTCTGTATGGCGTGTTTCGTAGAAGAATAAGGCGCGATATATCGTGCAATCCGCAACGAATTACTTAAGAAAAATATGGCGCGCGCCAAACGATGCGTTCCTCGATGCGTTGCACGGGAAAAGCAAGACGAGCAAATACATAATATTAAGTCGTAACTCGAAAGTGTGACTCCTGGCGAGCAATGGTTACGTTCTCTTTTGTTAAATGTTTTCGCTCGAAACAGTTTTTAATTGAAACAAATATCGTTTGTATGATTCATGCGAAAGTCTTTCTAAAGGAAGGGAACGTGACCGAGGATCGACGATAGATAGCATTTAGAAGGGAAGGCACAATGTTTATTGCTATGAAAAGCATATTATCTGTCCAGACTTGGCAGTTATATCTACGGTTATGGCCACGGAGTGGGAAAGTGTTAACCTTTCAAGCCTTGTCATTTTTCACACGTTGTGTTCCAACATGTTTAGACTATGCTTACACGGGAAACGCTCGATTCGTTCCTCGCAGATTTTAATCTACTTTTACGGAATGTTAGATTATTAATTATATTAGACTAATTTGACAGTATCGATTAAGCTTCGATTAAATATTAAGTCAGGGATTACGTGTCGTAAACGTGTTCGAATATTTCAATCGATTCGCGGAAGATAGTGATCATACTTTTTGGTCATAAATATATCGAAGAGTTTTATAGCACATTTAGAGTAAAATAGTATTCAGATTGCTCCGGAAAGCTAATTAAAAGCATTCGTTTTTTATCTCTTTATTAAAATGTCAAGATTCAGCCGTGCCAGGTTTTTGCTCTCTAAAATAACGTAAGCTACGAAAGGTTAAAGGCCACTGGTCCAAAGTCTAAAATCTCATCTGTGGAATGTAGCATTTAGTGTCCAGAATTCCACAGTGCAGAATTCCTCGAGCACTTTGTAGCCTTCGATCGAATATCACTTTCAGTTGGTTTTGATTTACGAGTTGCACGCAAATGCCCCGAGTCGGCCATGAATTAGCTGCGCTTGCTTATAAATGGATGAATCTGATTTGCGGTGAAAGGCACTTCGGCAATGGTTACCCGGAGTTGAATCATTGGCGCGGAAAAAGCAGAGGTTTCGCTGAACGAGTCGCGTTCCTTTCCTAGCCACGAGCTCCAGCCCGTGCACATTCTCTTGCGGTTTGCGATTTATATTCCCAACGGAACGCTCGATCGAATGGAAATTAAATATCAGCGGTAAATCAGCCGGTTAATTCGTTCATCGCGCAACCGCCGCTCGCGCCACTTTGTCGTAGTAAACATTTCAATAAATTCCACTGTTAATTGCGCCAGCTATAAATATTCGAACGTAATTAGCGATAGATTAAACTCTGTTCAAAAGTCTGCTCCGTTGTTATTGCGATTCTAAAAAAAAACTGGCAATGTTGTTGGCAATGAATCAGTTTGACATATTATTTTACGAGATCAAAGTTAGCGCTGTTTATGAGATTACTCGATACAAGATATATTTTTGTCGCGGAGCGTATTTCTTTTGTATGCGATAACAAGAAGATAAGTAGAAGCGAGTTTTCCTCGTGTTCCGTCTTCTACGAGCCACATCATTTCGATCATTGACCTCAATATCATTGTTTTGTTACGTTAGGTTCGAATTGTGTGCGTCGACCGTCGATAACCGACTGTTGACCGTACTTGGTAATCGATACGCGCGGAGCGAGTAATTTCGAGTTCGAGTCTTCGAGCCCCGATGGATCCCAAATGCGCCATTTTATTTAAGTTTACCGTTGCCCGAACAGAGGTGCTTCAATCAACGCGGTGAAGCTTTAATCGCCAGATTAGGCGCTTTTCTTGTTCGTTAAGCTTTATCGAGACCTTTGAAACTTAAATGATAAGTGTTCCTATCGATGACTTTCTCAATTCACACACGCGTGGACTTTTATAATTAATATTTTATTCGATGCTTAACTGGACACCCTGTATATCTCGGTTGAAAGTCATACGTTACTAGTTCGTAGAAAGAGAAGGCGTCGAGCGTGATCGATATTGGACCTAGTCTGTGCCAAAATTGGGCCATTCGCCATTTTCATTTTTCGGACGCGTTTTGTTAGCAGCTCGTGTGTAAATGTATTATCGGTAGCGTTCAGATACGAATAGAATTAGAGATTATTGGATGACATCTGACTAATATTCGAATTTTTTACTTACTTAGTAGCTGCAATCCGAACATCAGAACGAAACCGACGAGAATGGACAGATACTGGTTGATGCCACTTCTGTGCTCTTGGAGGATCTCGAAAAAGACGACGTATAGTAGAGTGCCAGACGCCAGACCCTAATAAATAAATATTATTCAATATACAACGATTAAAGGTTGGAAAAAAAGTTGGTATTTCAACGTTAATCGTAGGTATAAACAGACTATTTTATTCCATAGCGTTGAACGATGGGTTGGAAAGTGAAAAAAGCATTAGGCGTACCTGCAGCAGGACCGGAAGTATGCCATTGGCAGCGGCACTTTCGCCACCAACGAGGAACATTCCTATGCCGATTCCTATAGGAGAAACCACCGCGAATGTACAGATGTAGACGACCGAAAGATACCACCTGGTGTTGGAGGCAATCAGTTCCACGCCAATGCAGAACGCTATGACGAATTTATGAGCCGCTACCGCCGCGAACATGTACCTGAAAGTGAAATCAACATTTTTACCCGCCATGCAAATATCAGCGTTTGGTCATTATTTGCTCTTCGCCGATGAAATCTTATCGCGGCTCGTATATACGGCAATATACGTACCAAACGTAAGTGGATGAACTTTCCAGCCCAATGGCGAGTCCTTCGAATAATTCATGCACGGATAAACCGAGAACTATCAATAGTCCTCGTAGCGAGCTTATGACAAAGTCGTCTTCCTCGTTCATTATGACAGGCAAATGATGGGAATGACCGTGGTGGCCGTTACTGCAACAACCAAGTAACGTTAATACCTCTATAATTTGCATACCATCGGCAACGAATAAATAAATATTATTCTTACAAGTGAGAATGCCCGCTGACGCAGTTCGGTAGTGTTTGCCCATTCTCGACCAGCTCGTTTGTACTCCTGCTGACGTCTTTCTGGGAATTGGCCTCCTTCTGAGTTTGCTTTTTCCTCAAATGCGTGTGCACCGATTCTTCGACCAAGTACATGATGAAAAATCTAAAGCAGAGCACGGTTACAGCTAAAATTTTACCATGGAATTGAATATCTTCGTTACCGAAGAGGATCGTAAGGTTTGGTAACACGTTTCTAATAAATTAAAAACAGAACGCTCCTATTTATCTTTGTGTGTTACATATGTTTTTTCAAGTAAATGCTTTTGGACTTGAAACAGAAGCTTAATGACACAAATTAGGAGGAATTAAGATTAGATTACCAGACACTAGATACACGGGATAGTATGACCGAATGCGGTCAATTGTTTCATTAAATTCAGTTCGTTCACACGTATGAACGAACGATGGATATTAAGGAATAACAATACTGTTATAGCTGGAAATAACAGAAACAATACAGTGGAATTTATTTCGAATACAATTGAATAATTTTAATTGTACTCACCCGGTACAAGTGAGCGCTTCGGCCAACGAAAAGCTAAGCGCAGGAAGTTTCCCGTTCTCGGTAAGGTCCTCCACTCCTTCCTTCACTTCCGGCAGTAGATGCAGAAACGTCGTGCAGAAGAGCACGCCACCGCCGAATCCCAGAAGCAGGCCCACCAATTTCGTCGACCTACCATCGGTGCAACGCTAGTTTATCGACCCGTGTTAAACTGCAGTTTTCGTAATACGAGATTACGTCACAGAGGTCGTATTCGAAATTGTTACGACACCGAACAATACCGAGTTGCATTACGAGTCGTACACCTCGTTTGTGTCTGTGGCATTAAGATCGTCACGCTGATAATACAGTTTGCAAACCTCGTGCTAAATGTGTATGTTTTCAACGCGTTCAACGTGACACAGATTTAATTGGATTATCGATTCAATTACAGAAGGATTCCTAACAAGATACCGATCAAAGGATCAACGCTATTTTCGATACTCCTGGATTTTGAAAGTTTGAACGGAATTTGAAAGTTTATTTGTTGCGTCGGGGGAAACGATGAAGAGTAAACACGATGGGAAATATTGATACCTGGGATTAACAACACCAGCAGTGTTCCATTTCAAACACTTGGCCATTTGCATCGGTAGAATGCCCATGCACGTGCTGACTACGCACAAGATGATCATAGTGACACCTTTTGCAATTAGTACGCTCGACATGTTCGCGTCGTCGTTGTGCTCAACTTGTTCCTGTTGCGTGTCCGCGGTGGTGGTCATCAGTCTTTGCACCAGCGTATTATCTTCCAACGGAGACATGGTTCCCTTTATCGACGGTCAAGGTATTCTGTAAACAACAAATACGTAAATATAATATGCGTGCCAATCAATGCTAAAAAGTTCTAGCGTAAAATTCAAACA